CGTGAAAAATTTTTCCGCGTCGAATTTCGTCCTACGGGGTTTTGTTATCCGCGTTATCGACCGAAACGCGATTACACCTCCGCTTATCCTTTCTGATAAACAAGCTCCGTCAGCCGCGTAGTCGTTAATACCGCTTTGCATTTTATCGCTTTGTACGAGCGATCGGGCCCGATCGCTAACGCGCGACCGTCGATTTCGTGAAAATAGCACGCCGCGCGCTGCGAAATCATGCCTGATCCATTTCGCATCGGTGATTTAATTAAACCGTGAATTGTATATGCCGTTCGTATTATTGATGACGGTAATAACAATCGGACACGGTTGTCAAAGTAAAAAAGCAAATCCCTCGATCGTTAAACGTGCATATTATATATATATGTATACCGAATGTAACAACCCGACAGATTTTATCCTATAAGCGGTCGCAAACGTATTTTCCTCTGAGCATTTAGTTTCTTTTTTTTTTTTTTAATGAAAATAATGAGATACTTTCTTTGAGTTTTCTGAATCCAATTTTATTTCATATTGTTTTTAGTTGTGCGAAAGATACGACCTTCGGTTAACGGAAACACACAATCATTCTTTCCGCGCGATATTACTTCATTATTATTAAATACAGAGAGAGTTGTTCCTTAGTTTAGCCATTTGTGTTTAACTACTTAGTAATCTAGTTATTTTCTAATTTAACACATTTGTTTCTCCAATTACACACGAATATAGTAATAGAATATAGTAATAGAAAGGGAGAGAAAATTTTAATTGAAAGTTAAAATTGTCTCTAGCGAGAAAGAGGAGGATACCGAACGTGTATTTGCTCACACATTTTGTTTAAAATGTGCATTTATTAAAATCTCGTCTCAATTGTAACGCGCGATCGTTAATGTCGGCCGTTTCATCGAAGCGTCGCTAGTCGATCGACCTCAATTGTTCGAACCGACAGCGCTCTCGGGGAGAGAAAAAAAAACCCTCGTTCATTTGTCAGTCGTGAAAAGAAATATAGCTCATTTCTTTGTCAGCGGAGAAAAACATTTTACATATTTTGAAATTATTTCGATTTCTCCGCAGCGGTAATCGAACTTTGTTGTTACAGACACTCCATTTGACATATGAAAAGTTAAAACGACATAAATAAAACTTTGATCGAATGCAAATCCCTCGGACTGCGCAACGTGTAATGTAAAAGTTCAGCGATTCGCGCGCGAAGTTCGCGAATGATGGGCGCGACCAATCCGACTTTTGACACGGCGCGGCGCGGCGATCTGCGAAGTACATACATACATCTCGCGCGCAAAAACTGAGTAAATATTAGATTCTTCGCAGTTTACGACCGGAGAATTCGAGTCGGGGTGGATTACGTCCAGCCGCGCTATACGTACACGTACTTTCGAAAGAAAATATGCATAAAAATGCAAAAATCTCGGTCGCGAGGTATAAAGAAACGCACCCATCGTGTATACACGAAAAAAAAAAAACATACACGAACACACACGTGGGCGTGTTGTATACGCAGTGATATTACGCTTCCTTTTAACAGCGCACCGAGAAGGTGAATATACCGCGGAATCGATAAACCGCGCACGTAAAACGCCGATTCGTAATCGATTTTTTTCTTCTACAAAAGCATTTCCTTCACGACGAGTGTGCATCGACGTTTTCAGAGATAGGATAATTCTATTTTAACTTTTCGCGTAAGAGACTCACCTGCGAAAACCCAATACATGTTCGAGAAAAGAGCGCGATGAGAGACATCTTTTGTTGCAAAACGACGAATAAATTTCTTGAAAATATCTGGAGCGAGTAATGAAAACTGCGACTAAAATTTTGTTAATTTTACAGTACGTTCGAGAAGAATTGAGTAAGAAATTAATTAAAAAATTAATTAAGAAGTGTCTTTAATTTCGTGCAATATGCAAAGAGACTTATCTCAAAAGAGAGAATGCAAATTGAGAGTGATCTGCATTGTTGTGAAAATAAGACGGAGAATTGAGATAATAACTTTTTTGTATTCTTCTGTTTACAATATCGCGCGCGACGGTCGTGTGTATACGCTACTACTTACGCGTAGCGCGTCACGTGTATCGATCTCGTCGCTCGCGCGCGCATCGGGAATTTAGAGATTTAAACGTATTTTAAAATTAATTCCGCGCGAACCGATCCCCTACTTCCCGGAGGACCGTAATCTATGGAAATTTCAAGATTGAAGCGCGTTAACGCGCGATGTTGAGTGTGAAGAGCACACGCGCGCGCGAGAGGGACATTCTCTCTCGTCCATTGAAAGACAAGTAGCTTCTCTAAGAAGCGAGAACTCACCGCGCGGCTTTCTTTCACTTTCGTCTTCTTCCTCCGGAAGAAAGAAAGAGTGCCACGACCAATGAGAGACACAGGGCGTGTCGGCGTGTTGAATAAAATTAACATAGTATTAAGACTCTCTCTGGCGCGCGATAACGACCGACCGACTTCGAAAGCTTCCGACTTCTCCGTAATTTCTGCCTTCTTGTAAATCGTATGGAAATCGCCGCTGCGCGCAAAAACGTTCGTTCTTTTTACACGTATTTGCTTTTTACTGTGCAAATACTCTACGAATCTTTATAATCGTCGCTTCTGAGTTTTACTTAGGAAAAAAAAATGTAGGATTTTGGTTTCTAAGTGAATTTTTTTGCTTGTTTTTTACTCCAAACGTCTGTATGCGTGTGTTGAAACAAGCACATTTGCGAAAAAAAAAAAAATTATTATTCACATTCTACAAAGTAAATCGAGTTTGTGTTGCAAAATCTCTTGTTGCGTTTTAATTTCGCGCGCGTCGAATCGACAGCGCGAGAAATCACGTCTTTTCTGTATCGTTGAAGTTTTGGAACTTTCGTCGAGCGAAAATATTTATACACTTCGACGAAGACGCTCCGGCTCTTCTTTTGTGGCACACACAAACGATTTTATATAGTATCTGTTAATATTAATAAGACTGTTTTGGAACTGTGGTGTATCTTCGTTACCGCAGGCTGGTGTGTGAAAAGAATTTTAATACGAGAGATATTTTAATATCGATTTTTAAGATAAAATTATACAACACGATGTAGTAAAGAAATGGTTTTTTTTTTTTTTTTTTACATTACTGCTTGATGAATACGAGGTAAATTTTTTTTTTTTTTTATATCACCGCTTGATAGAAGCGAGATAAATTTTTTTCGCTCGACGAACGCTTTAAACTTCACCGACATTTTCTTTTCTCGCGAGAGTAATTATCTCGCTGATTTATTACAACGACGCGCGAACGAATCCGTGATAATCTGTACCCACCTGCGTTCGCGCAAAAAGTCACTCATCGCTCATTCGCGAAGCTCATTGCGGTTTTCACTCAATTAATGATTGTTTGAACGTAACAAGATCGAGTATGTCTCTCTTTCTCTCTCTCTCTTTCTCGCTCTTCTGTATATCTCGCGTATTCACACAGTGCGATTGTGCGATCGTCATCGCGGATTTTATCAGATTCTTCCGACGAATTTCGGCAAATTACGACCTGTCGCCGCGACGTGCGTCGTAAATCGCGCTGCTGCACGTTTCATGTCGTCAACAATCCGATCGAGCGCTAACGTCGCGATTTCGGCTCTGTTGTTGAATAATATCCTAGCGGTATATGACGAAACAAGTATCGCTGTTACTAGATTACTTTTTCGTCTTTTTCGTGTGAGAACTTATGTAAATACGTGCAAGAGAGAGCAGCAACGCGCTACTCCTGGAAAAACTGTGGAAGGGCTGCGCGTCGCGTTGAGAAGAGCAAAGCGCCTCGGATATAATAAATCGATAATTCGTGTACGCGACTTTCGACCCTGGGAACAAGCGAGCCGGAGAAAAACGCGCGGCGACGTTTTTCCTACGGAGCTCGTTTGTATCTCAATAGGGGGAAGGGAAGGAGGGAAGGTCGATATGTGCGCGGCTGATTATATGCGACAAGCTCTCGTCCGTATGTGTGTTTTGAAAACTCTACGTTGTGTTCTTTTTCGTATCTCCTCCCCGGGAGAAAATCAAACTTAAAAACACGATGAAATAATGCGTGATTGATATCTCGCGCGATCTGTCTCTTCGAAAAAAAAATATTCTTGTTTTTTCTCTCATCTACGTCGTTGCCTATTATCGACAAATTAATTTATTCAATTTTTTTTTTTTTTTTTAATTCCTCTCTTTCTCCAAGCTATTTTTATACGGGACGCAAACAAGTTGCGTGCGGGGATTGAATTTGTAATTATTAGCTTTAATAATCAAGCTTTTTTTGCCAAGTTTTTTGACTTGTTTGTTTGTTTGATAACCTTCGAAAAAAAAAACCGCTTGCTCGCACACTCGCGGGAGTTTATTTTTAATACAGTAAAGGGATTATACGTGCAGACAGATATTGTTAACCCTCTGCTGGGAATAATAGCTTTACTTAGAGCAGCGCCATTTTTAATTGTCTTTTGTACACACATTACCTACACACTATATGTACGTGTGTAATGTATTCGGAGCGAAACGTAAAAACTTGGAGACGATTAAAAAGTGCTGCTCGGAAATTTGCAGGCTTTTTTCGTTGACGCCTCTGTGAAAATAACTAATTTAACTTCGTAACCGTACGTTTTTTTTTTTTTTTTTTACAACTCTGAGGCTTAACGAACATCGAGATTTTGTTGAGACATTTTCGTGAATGTTTATTGCTCTCCTCCACTTTGCTTTCTCGTATTTTTTTTTTTTTTTTTCCACCACTAGACCCACTGACAGACGCGATCGCTGTTACATTATGTTATACGCTCCTCTTCCATTCTCGTTGATGCGTTTTTTTTCCACGTGATATCTTTTACGTGCCTATACGACGACGGAATGTTTGGAAAACATCGATCAAATGTATGCTACCCCTCCTGTCACTTTGTACGAAGCGAGCGTTCTCTATCTTTTTTACGGATGCGTTATTCAATAAATAAACATGTATTTTGCTTGTTCCGCTTGTTCTACGTTCCAATTTTTGAATTTTTCAGAAAAATGAAGCTCGAGCTGGACCGGGAGAAGGGCCTCGAGCTCTTCGGCAAGCTGATACGTACAAAGAACGTCGAAGGTCTGCAGGGTAACCAGACCAAAACCGGTCCCGAGCCGCTCCATCCAGCCGACTCCAAGCAGAAATTACAGGTAAATACAATTTTCACCCCCCCCCCCAAACACACACTGTAATGGCGAATTTTTAGGCTTTAATTTTTGTGCATTTTTTTCTAAAAAAATCGAAGATTGCATCTCCCAGCTCGTTTCAAATTGTCTTTCGCCGGATTATTAGCCGAGAACGCGGTCCATTTCTCTCGATTTCTCTAAAAAAAAGCGTTCGTTGAAAACTTTCGCGAGCAGCAAAAAAGTTCAGTTCTAAACGCGTATAAAAAAGTAAATGCGCGCGAAATTCATTGGTGTAAAAATTTGTGTTGGTTCCCGCGAGGAAGTTTTGTCGCGCGACGGTTGTCCCGTAATTTCTCGACAGCCGTTTGCCCCCGTTGGTCCGTCATGTGCATTACGTCCAGGTAGCGGTAATTCTGTCGTCCTGCCTGGGTAGCCCCGTCGTGTCGCGCGCTAAGAGAAACACGACGAACTTTCGTATCTCTAACGCCCGGCGACTACTGCTGTTGCTGTCGTTGCGAAGCTGTTACTTCACTTCGGGCGGACGTTTCCCAGCAGACGGCGGCCGCAGTTGCATAAACCGTCGGAAAGTTTCCCAATAACCGATCCACCACTTCCCGTTGGAAAGTAGCACGACACGTATATAAATACCGCGCGCGTGTGTGTGTGTGTGTGTGTGCGCGCGCGTGGTTAAGACGCAAATTTTATCCGCACGTATATAATGCAAAAAAAGTAGCACACGGAAAAAAAGAAAAGAAAACCAGAATGAAGAGCATCTCGACGCGGGAGAGGCCTTTGTCAGGCTTTGATTGTCCCGTTGAAGAGAAGAGTATCGGTCGATACTTTCGTCCGATGGTGAGTTGAACGATTATTTCGTCGTTTCGACGAGAAAAGGTTTAATTACCGCTTCCAATTAAATCTCTGGCCGAGGGATATTTTATTTACGCAAAAGCTCGCGCCGGACAACGGGACGTCATTTACTTTTTGTTTGTTTGTTTGTTTTTTTTTGAAAGCACAAAAAATCACGTTAGATAACGTTTGTTCGGTTCCACTTGTGTGCAAATGTATTTCGATAATCTGTTGTAGCGGTCGCGTGATCGAGGACAAGATTTTTCTTCGGGACGCAATTTCGTTCGATTTTTCGGATTCAATTTGTCGGATTATTCGCTCGTCGTGAATTTTTATTTCACGGAAAACAATCGGATTTCGCTTTGAAACGACCCCTTCTCGTTCTCATCATTCGACGTGCCCGCACGGTGGGCTTAGAAATTGCGAATCTTGCTGCGCCGGCTAAACACGGCAAATGACGTTATGCATCCGGTATGATTTCCCGGTACGGTTATCCACGAAGATACTTCCGGTATTTGAGCTTGTGCTGCTGGCAGTTCGAGGCAATCTCGGATTTCATTCGTTATTTAGCGACGAATCTCACGTGTAACTGCACCTGCGCGCAATGTTTATCAAAATCCTAACCGTTTGGCACGTGACAAAGCGTGTGTGATCGGTTTGCGAAGAGAATGTGTCTGATCGATATACAGATTTTTAGACTCGGATGGTTAAAGATCGTAAGCGATATCGAGGGAAAAAAAAGGCGACATGTTGTCTCGCACTCCGAAGAACTTCATCAAATTTTTCGTAATTGCGCGCAAAAATCAACGCTGGCGTTGTATCAAACTTCGTGACAACTTCATACCGGTAATAAATCACGATGATATGGTTGCATTAAATTACGATGTCGCGCATTCTTTGATCACCGCGATAGATCCGAATCGATCGATTTTCGAAAACACGTATAGTTACTCTCTCCGTGAGATTACCCGACGTTGACTGGATCGCGCCGGATTGCAAAATGCATTTTCCTTTATTACCCGTGCAATTACCGTCTCAATGGATAGTGACTAATTATAACGTTACAACGCGAGGCCAGATAATTGGATTCAACGACCTACTGAAGACCGCGTAACTTTCGTAATTAGGGATATAATGCCGCGAGCTTTGATGTATCGCGTCTCCCTTAGTACGCGGTCATTTTTTGATAATTTGTTTATATATCATTTTATAAATTTGCAAACTTGCTTTGTAAACTACATTGCGAGAGAAATTAACGTGAAATGACACGTAATGAGATGACGACATATAATGTATGATATAATAAATTATTATTTATTATTACATAAGGTATTACTTCTATTTAAATAACCAGCACAACACAAGCGCGCGCTACGCGCTATTATTGTTTTTATTTTAACGTGTGGTGTCAGTGAACACAACTTGTCATCGCGATGACAGCTAGTATATACATCTTCCAAACCATAAAATACACATTAGAAAAATGTCAAACATAACGCATGAAAATCAAAATAAAAAAATAGTGAGAGAGAGGAGTGGAAAAACAACACGTGTGACTAAAGTCGCGTGACAGGGAAAAGAGTAAAAAAGAGAATATTATTATATATTATATATAATATTGTGGTAATTATGCAGTTATACGGACTATTTTCCGATCTCAACAATTTTGACATATGTTATCAAGGTCACCTCTCTGAATAATAATATGAAGGTTTTATCCGTCGCTCATTGTTTATAAAAAAGTTATGAACAAAAAAAGTTTNTAGTTTATTCATGAAACTTTTTTTGTTCATAAGTTTTTTATAAACAATGAGCGACGGATAAAACCTTCATATTATTATTCAGGGAGGTGACCTTGATAACATATGTCAAAATTGTTGAGATCGGAAAATAGTCCGTATAACTGCATAATTACCAATATTGTATATCTATATATATATTACACACACACACACATATATATATATATATATATACCGTAATCACGTAATCAGGGTCAGTGACCTCGCCGCGGTCACGCGACCGAGGTCAGTGACCCGCCAAGGCCGCGCGCTCGCGGTCAGTGACCTCCCCCCACCAAGGCCACGCGCCGGCGGTCAGTGACCCTTTCCCCACCAAGGCCGCGCGGCCGAGGTCAGTGACCCGCCAAGGCCGCGCGGCCGAGGTCAGTGACTCCGCCAAAGTCACGCGGTCGAGGTTAATGACCTCTCCAAGATCGCGGCGGCCAACTTACTGTAGTATAAGTTGATCTTACTGTAGTATGTATATAATACATATAATACAATATAAAGTATAATATTATAAATATATAATAAATCATATGTATAATATGTATTATTTAATGTTATATATATAATATAAATTACAGTCACGTTTTGTTTTTCTATTCTTTCCTATCACGTGACTTTATTTTAGTCACGTTTTTAATTTTCTCTACGTATACGACGAACTGTCAAAATCGCTTTTTTATCATCATTTACTCTTTCGATCTTATCAATTCGATTTGATTCAACTTGATCGACCAACTAACCAATCGGCAATGCGGAATGAGTCAATAATAAAAATAAAGTATATAATGTAATAAATCTCTATTTCAAAATTGTACTAGTAAAAAGTGCTATTTATGTGTGTAATCTAAAATTGGAAATAATTCCGAGTTCGAATCTTCGTTTTGAAATTTATTGGAAATCGTTTAATATAATTATAGCACAATTCGCTGTCTGTTGAGAGTAACTTCGCAATTGATTTTATTTTTACTCGCGCTTTAGCATTTTAGCCACTCCCATAGAATCGACGCGAGAAAGAAAAGACCCCTGTGGTAACTCTTGAAGGGAGACGACTTTATTAATAATTATCGGTGAGAAAGGCAGTAAAAATGGCATTGACATTTTAGGATAGAAGTCAACCGAAAGACGTAACTGCTCCTACGAGCAAGATGTACAATTGCAAAACGCCCCCGAACTTGCTTTCTTCGAAGCAGTCGCGACAGAGAGTCAAAGTTTCTCGAGTTCTTTACGTTCTGCTACTCTTATTTATCGCTCTATTATACAATTGTATTGACACTAACATCGTTGCGCGCGACAATTCGCCGACTTTTAAAGCCGACAAATATCAAAAACATTTATCTTTTTTTCTCTTTCTCTCTCTTTCTCTCTCTGGTTAAAAACAAATAAACTATTTCTCTTGCTTGAATCTACAATTATTTTCACATATCTCCGAAATGATTTCTGTTTGCAGAAGTGCCTGACGACTCTGGACCTGACGTCTTTAGGAGTTGGCTCCTGCGTCGGGACAGGGATGTACCTTGTCGCAGGAATGGTGGCGTACAGGGTTGCCGGACCTGGTGTCGTCATCTCATTCATTATCGCAGCCATTGCTTCCATTTTTTCCGGTAAACATGTATTAAATTATATTTATCTCACACTAGTTTTATTTATACTAGTTTTATTAAATTAGTTTTATAATTATTGTACTAGTTTTTTTTTTTTTTTCTAAAACACGCGATGTAGTTTGTATTTTTTCATCGTTACCAACGCAGCGTTGGATTAAAAAAGCTGTCAAACAGAAAATACCGTGAAATTTGCTTTGAAACACGGCCGCTTGGAAAGATAATATATCAAATAAGCTTGTCAGGCGCGCGTTACCCCAAACACACGCGATATTCAGACACGGCGGATTTTAATCGCTATGTTGTTTCACGTGCACAGATTGATCGGATCTGAACAATTCTTCTTGAAGATAATTGTTCGTCGTCTTCGTACTCTTTTCGCACGATCGTGACGAAATTCCGTCGCGTAATAACACGCGGAAGTGGTACGTATCCGCGTATGAGACGACCAGGCTCTTTTACAGGGCTTCGCGCGCGAGCGGAATACGAAAGTAAGGGATTTATTTACGCGCGCGATTCACAATCCCGCGCGACCGAAGAAACGTGACAGATAGAAAGAAAACAGGATTGTGTATGCGGTAGTCTTTTTATCCATGTATGTGGATTTTCTTGACTATTTTTACGAGCGATCAATTTAATGGATGTCGAGGGATATGTGTGTATGTGTGTGTGTGTCGGCTAGTGTATTCTGTATGGGTGTGATGTCAATGTTTCGACGTAGTTTCGATGAACACGGAAAAAGATAATAACTGGACACGATGATACGCGATGAACGCAAATACGTTAACATTTAAGTAATAGACCTATCATTACTCAGAAAATAAGGTTAATTTTATGTAATTTTGATTATAGATTTGCATTTTTTCTGTCTTTTGGAGTTTTTTTAGGCATTTTAATAATGCGAATATAATGGTTATATAAAGCGCGTATATATAATTACAACATATAAATAAAAATAAATATATATATCGTTCCAAATAATTTATACAATTTCGGAAAATGGGGTTTTCGGATTTGAATCGCGTTGATATTTATTTTGAATTCTGATGAAGTGAACTGGAAAAACGTCCACAAAACGTCTTTATAAAAATAACATCAACGCCGGTTCACAAAACCATTTTTCAAAAATTCTTATAACACACACCACCGTCAAATAAAATTGATTAAAATTTTTGGACGAAAATTCTCGCGAACACAGTCAAATGTTATTTCTTCGTTGAAAGATGTGCGTGTACGTACATAAAGAGACAACAAAAATTTACGATACTTTAATGAAGTTGTTCTTTTTTTTTTTTTTTTGCACAAAATTCAGTTACATTCTTGTAAAACGCTCAACACGTTTCCCGCGCGCATACGACGTTGATTGTTATCGTGTGTAACAACGTGTTTTTAACGCAAGACTTTCTCGCTCGGGGTGCTTTGACACGAGAATTGCGATTTAGACGAGCGTGATAAGACACAGGGTGCTTCTTTCTCGTGTGTGTGTATAAAGCGCAGCAGATAACTCGAGGGAATAGAACGCCGCCGGTCTGCAGCCGTTCGGGAGATAAGAACCTTATTCCGCGAAAATGTGAATTTTTTGGGATACGACCGGAATATATGATTCGGAAAATTCATTTTTCCACAACCGTCCGCGCGATCGTATCACGTGGAAATCCGTGGCGTTGTCCGCTCTGGTGCCGCGAGCGGATTTAACCATGGCAAATGTACATGTATACGTAATTTTGTAGAATTGCGCGTATATAAAACATTCTCGACGGACATTTGCGGCGTCCCAATCAGATGCCATCGGTGAAACGCTATTGTGATATGGAAAATACTGTATACAGTTGATTACTTACGGAGCGGGTTTTTTTTTTTTTTTTTATAGTCCTGTGATTCGGTCTGTGCGGGAATCGGTATAACCAAGAAGATTTTAGATTCGAATCCGATTTGAATGTGTTCGAATTTTTGAAGAATCGCTTTCACTCTGTGACGAACTCGACTCAACTCATCGATGGTTTACTATACATCGTCTGTCGTCAAATTCTCAGAAAATAAGAGCATTTAAACGGTTTTCGCTGTTAACGCGCGAGTTTTACGAGCAGTTTACTTTGACTAACAGGTACTTACATCATTTTTATCGCTACGGGTACTGTTCCCAGGTACTCGAACATTACGTTAGTTTTATCTCCGTCGCAAGTACTTGCTTTACTCTCTTTCAGCATCGTGCACTTCGCTATCGTATCGATAGTAACGGCCTATACGTCGCGCGTATATACATGTCCGAAAATACATGTACAGAGTGTCTGAGAAATTTTGACCAAGCCAAGAAGTGTGTGAAGACAGATTGGATTAATCGAAAAATCAAGTGTACAAAAATTGCTCGTTATTCTTGTTTGCAAAATGATCACTCGCTAATTATTGCGAATTTTGCAAAATGGTACCGCGACTTTTCGAATCAATCTACATTCACACTTGGTCAAAATTGTTCGGACACCTTGTATAAATGTATACATATCGATATCAACGACTTGCGCAAAAGCCGTAACGGAAAATAGCCGTCAAATAAAATTTACGATTCATCGCGCGCGCGCGCGCTATTCCAAACACGCCGCGTTGTAAACTGTTTCGTCGTGTATGCGCGGGCTATTCGCCGCGCTGCTCGAAATTGCGAATGCAGATTCTAGGCCGTAACATAACACGCACGCACAAAAGCGGCAGAACGTGTTTCGATCAGGTTTGTTTTGCTCTCGTTGTTGCCCGATCTCTTTGTCGAGCCGCAATTTCGTTGCAATTCCTATGAACATCTTCGCGGAAAACAACGTTGTAGACGGAAATCGCATTGTGGTGCGGCGAACCGCGGGAGAAAAAATATCAATCTTCGAGTTCGTTTTTTCCGTAATCTCTCGTCGCCCATCAAAATCCCATGTAAACAACAATTTACACGTGGGAGATCTGTTGTTGGCGCGTATTATTAAAGCGAAAGATGGGGAAAAAACGCGATCGATCGGGTGTCGCGTTCTCGGTTGCGTAATTATCGATCGAGCGAATGAAGCTCTAATTAATTCGGTATTCAGAAGCGCCGATACCACGCGACAGGATTAAAGCTGGGACGGCTCTGTCGTGTGGTGTTGTTTAATTAATTCGTTGCGTTGTTAATAGGCACCACTGGCCACTGGTTGCAGCCGGTCGATCGGCGTAACGTAGTAATCATCGCTCCGTCCGCTGATAATTACGGAAGCGGCGATGTCATTACAACGTCGCGTTCTTCCGCGAAAAGAGCCCGTTCCTCTTGATCGAAACTCAGAGAACAAATTGCGCAGACGACGAAAACAATTTATCGCAATTACGTATATTAAATACGATAAATTTTCTTTTTATAAATTCCTTTTTTTTCTTTGATAATATATTTAATCATAAAAATAAAAAGAGAGAAATGTCACGTTCAATAAAATCCACTTTATTATCGCGTAATTGGATTCATTTCAATTTTTATATTTTCGTCTCGACAACTCGTGTTACGTATAAAAACTATACAAATTCATCATAATGTGTTTGAGAAAAATAACAGATTCTCTTCGACGTACATGTACGTCGTGTTGTACACGTGTATGTAAACGCATACACGTGCAAGATGGGTCTTTACATCTCGTTCGATAGTCACGAAAGCGAAATTAAGAATTCACAAACCGGAACTGTGTCGTGTGTCTCTTGTAGTCTTTACCAAGTACTTGGCGTTTCTTAGACTTGGCGGTCCGTTTAAAGGACGGATAATATACACGCAACGTATATAAGCATCATGAGTTCGACATCAATGGAGACTAGATTCCAATTAGGAGACTCTAACCTTGCTGCTGCAACGGCTTTGTGTAATCTGACTATGGCAGAAGTAATAGCGATCACGCAGTGGTTGACGTCAAAGGTAACGATGCCGAGCTTACGGATGCGGGGTGTACGACGGTTTGCGTTCATGTTTCACGTGAATCCGTCTTTATGTACATATACATACATATATATAATACATATATATATATACATATATATAATGTACATACAAAGTTTGGCCGAATAATATGTACAAGCGGGCACGAGGTGATTTCTCGTGAAAAAATAAGAAACAAATATAGAATAAAGTTGTTTTTTATTTTCGGCTTGGTTTTCGAGAAAATCGAGTGTGAAAATCCGTATGTACATACGTACGTTGTTACGAGTGAGATACGATTTGCCAAGCGACGTATACTAACGCGCGTATTGCGTAACAATTTTCTCGAAAACTTAACCGACAAAGATATTTTCTCTATTTTTTTGATGAGAAGTCACATCGTGCTCGCTTGTACATGTTATTCGATCAAATTTCTGTGTATATTTTTTACTAATATAAAATGACACTTTTAACGACATCTGGAATTTCCCGTTACAATAATTCTCGGATTTCCCTTTGGTGATGCGTGTCGCGACTGAATGAGATATCATTGATTTGATTACAGGGGCGTGTTACGCCGAGTTTGGAGTACGAGTGCCTCATACGACCGGCAGCGCTTACATGTACAGTTACGTGACAGTAGGCGAATTAATAGCATTCATTATTGGATGGAACATGGTGCTGGAGTACCTTATAGGTACGAGTGCCTGTGCGTGCGCCCTTAGCGCCTGCCTGGACGCGTTGGCGAACGGTGCTATTTCAGGGGCGATAGCCGACAGCGTCGGCACCATATTCGGTAAGTACCTACCTATCCGCCTCTCGCAAAGCTTCGCTTCACACCTCCACGCATGCGAATCGTCGATTAATAAAACGAAATGTAAAAAAAAATGATACGTTTATTATTACGGAAAAACGTAGCGAATTTCAGAGAGAAAGGGAAGAGGAATTTTATAAAAAACCACCTCTTTCAATATTTATTACAATTTTTGTTTTAATAGTAAAAAAACTTGAAATATAATTTGAGTATAAATCTTTTTCATTTCCAAAGTTTACAGTTCTCACTAAATTAATTGTTACAAACGATCAGTGTAAATCAGGACACCGTGCAATTTTTTTTTTTTTTTTCAGGACATCCTTCACAAGATGTTCTAATTTAATTGCTCTAATAATAATGTATATGTACGTTTACCTTGGCCTCGGATGTTCTTTTGCGCGTCAGCAAACCTTAGAGTTCTCTTCCTAGTCGCTCGTAAAAGTGTGAAACAACTAGTCGTTGGGCGTCTTCGTCGGTAGCGATATTACAGAAATTTACGAGCAAATTTTCGTTTTTTTTTTTTTTTTTTATGTAGTCGTCAAGCTTTTTTGTCCCGGTTTTGTCGTAAAGTATCTTTTGCGCTACATAGGCGAGAAAGGGAGCTACATAGTTGAAAATGACGAAGACAAAAACGAGATTGGTGCCGCGGTGGTTATGTCACGTGCGTATTTGCAAAAAAAGAAGAGTATTAATCTCCAATAAAACTAAAAGCTTCCGTAATTTTGTTAAAACTTTATTGGCACGTTGAGAGTAAGAGAAATAGAAATTATACTATGTAATCACACACATACATACACACGTACACCCCCCTCTCTCACACACACACACAAAAATAAGGTTTTTGTTAGTACCACCATATCGAATAATTGCCGTCTGAGTGAAAAATTGCTTGTTGAGCAACAAAATTGCCTCTCTCAGGTTTGTATAACGCTCTCGTTGCGACGTTATAAACTCGAAAAAAAATCTCGCTCTGCCGAGCACAATCCAATTTTCTAAAGCGAATTAATTTACTGACGCGAGCGCGCATTTCACCAATGTGCAAAAAGAACACGCATCCAGGATAACAGCCAAAAAACGTCGCGTGTTTTCTTTTTGACTGACGTTCACATACAGGGCGGGTGTGTGGGATCTTACTTTTTACTCCCGGACAGGTTCTTTCTAGCAAGTTCTTTCGATGACAGTTCACGTCTCAAATAGAAACAGTTCCGACAAAAATTCTAAATTTTTTGCAAATTCTTAATATTAAAACTAAATCGATATAATTAAAGCGCATATTAAAATTCTGAAAAATGTAAACTCGCACAAATGCAATGTGAATTTTATTTATCGCTCGCAAGAAGAATTTTGCTTATTATTTGTATAAAACTCTCGATATGTTGCAAACAAAATTGTTTTATTTCGAGAAAATTGATTCTCCCTTCTATTAGCAAAATTAAAAGTTTTGCGTGCCTGGCAAAAAACTTGAGATTCTATTATTAATTTCGCTACATCGTTACTGGCCAAACTGATCGATCGTGCACGTACACGGACTCAAATTATAGACCATTTAACATAACCAGTTTTCGTCGTCTTTGTCGTATTTTGAATATTTCGTTTTCGCAGCGTCATTATGACGTATTCTCTTCAGTTATCTAATTATTTATGTCTCTTTAATATTTAACATTCCACTGCTCGATCACTACACGCTGATTTGTCAGAACTCATTAGCGGAGCTGATAAAAATTTCAAAAAATTTCTACATGACGACATTGCAAGCATTGTATAAAAAAAATAAAGAGTACGAGTTTTGTAGTTTTATGTAGAATATAAAAAAGTTGCAATATTATAAAATATTCGTTAATATAAATTACAGATAAAAGCTATATTGTGTTTCTCGTAAGTATCGTCCATTTGGCAAGTATGGATCGTATTTTTTTCTGAACTTTTCTTCGATCAAACTATAAACTTTACGAGAGTAATGCGTTGCCACACACACTCTCACACACAGAGTGTACTTCGAGTGACTAACGTTACATAGAGAAGAGTCCGGCAGATTTTTTCGTGCTCCAGTTCTTTCGAAATTGCTTCGTTGTGCCCGAATCTTATTGCATGGCGGAGAGGTCCGAACGTTATTCTCATTCGAAGAGTGATTGAGATGTAACGTGAGAGTGATTTTTCGTGTAACGACGTTTTCTGCTTGAATCAGCTCTCTCTCTCTCTCTCTCTTCCTTTCTGTCTGTCAGTTACTTTTCACAAATAATTCTCGTGGGATTTTCTTTACATATTCTCGATAGTATCTTACGGTGAGTGCTCTTGAAATAAAATATCGTGCGTATATCCTAAGTTGCTTTCATAATATATTATTTTTGTAAAGGAAGAGAAAGAGAGAGAGAGAGAGAGAGAGAAGGAGAAGGGGAATAATAACAATTATATGTTGTTTGCTGCGCTGATTACACTTTTTTTGTATCTTATAATTTCATTTTAGAGTAATATCATTGTCAACAATTTTTTTGTTTATGTAATTATCAGATCTCTCATTCAAGGTGACAACAATCAATACACGCAATTAATTAAAATATAAAATAGACAGAGTTCGTCATGACAACGTACGCCTCGAAGGTGACACAAATATTGAACACGACGTTAAATGTTAGGTATTGATTTTAATTACATTTTATGACAAATGTATCAATACAGTGTTGTGTCGATTCGTGATGTGAGTCGTATTGCGATACGCAGCACGTTGGAATACGCGATAATGAGCAACAAATTAAAACGTGCTTTCTGCAATAAAATAAAAATTTTTGCCGAACGAAAACTCCAAATAAATATAATTACTTAAATCCTATAGTATACGTCGATTATATTATTGTTTTTTAATTAACATTAGCACAACACAGACGCGCGCTACGCGCACGCTATTATTGTTTTTATTTTAACGTGTTATAGTGTCAGTGAACACAACCTGTCACCGCGATTACTACTAGTATATATACGTCTTACAAATCATATAATACACATTAGAGAGATGTTAGAAATAACGCATAAAAATCAAAATTTAAAAAATAGTGAGAGGGAGAAGTGGAAAAACAACACGTGACTGTATTTTAGTCCTTTAAAAACGTGACTAAAGTAAATTCACGTTTAGTCACGTTTTTAAGAACACGTGGCTAAAATACAGTCACATGTTTTTCCTCTTCTCACTGTCACGTGACTTTATTTTAGTTACGTTTTTAAAGACGCGCAACAAAGTCGCGCTCGTTTTTCTGATAGGATCTGTCTCCTACTGTTTCCGGAAAGAAAACAAATCTAATTAGACACGCGCAAGACTCGTGCAATATTATTACCTTTTCACAGTTGGTCTTCTCGCGATGAAACTTACTTCACGTAAAAATGAATAAATTACTACGATATTAACGCGAAAACGTAGCGTTATATGAAAATACCGCATGTCTCATAAATTTCGTTCGCATTTTAAAAAACTCATAATGTAACGAGATGCAGGGCCGGAGTTTCGTCGTTCTTTTTTTAATACACTCACGTCAATATGAAAAGTTGTTCATATTGACATGGTTCCGCCTTTATGTCCCGCGGGAGAATACCCTCTACTTCACAAAAATTTGACGCGTATGCCAGACGCCCGTACCTACGAAAATGCCGTAATATATCGCGCGAGTATAGACTTAGTTAAGTTTACATGTATATTGCAGTTTCGCTACGGATGTGCAAAAATCGCGGTTATTACGAACTACGTAAGAAAAAGTAACATTACGAAGAATACGTGCAAAAAAAAAAAAAAAACTAAGAAATAAAAATCATTTAATAATTTAATTAGCAAAGTTTTGGAGGTAATTAATTTAAAAAAAAAATTAATTTACTACAGAAATTAAAAAAGCTGAACACTGCGTTGATAATTGATCGATATGTAGGTGTGGAGAAATTAATTCTTTTCTACCAATTTTTCTTTGTACGAGCGTCGTTATAGCAAAGAAATATTTCACTGTGCCAGAGCGCGGAGGAAGAGCAAAGTCGCCGCGCGACGCGACGGTGCGGCTGCCTGCACACGCCGTTATCCTTAATTAACTTTTTTTCTAAAACCTCGTGTCGGAATTTTCCGATGAGTTTGCAGAACGAAATGGTTTGCAGCTGTTACGTGACACAAATAATTGCGCGCGATGTGTTTGTCAACGAAAACAGGTTAATTGTGAAAATAATTTCGAAAATATATTTGCAACGCGATAACAATAAAATTGAAATGAAATATCGGCGGATCTGCACAAAATGCTTCGAGCATAAGTCACACGCTCGGTTGAAAAATAACGCGGCGCAAACTTTGGAAATTGGCTCGTGCGACTGGTGCGCGAAAAGTGAAAGATGTTGAAAATTTTTGAAAGAAAATAGAAACGTGTACAGACAGAGTGTCCTTGACAAAACTTTTATATTTTTGGTGTACAACAGGAGTTCGAGTGACAAATTCTCTTTTGATATTTTTCTTTCTTGCGAGAGAGAGAGAGAGAGAGAACAAGAACTCTCGTATTTGCGATAAAAGTTTGGTTCGCATCGAATTTCGAGAGTCGCGCTCTTTCAGTCAAAGACTCTCCCCTCAGAAACTCTCACTAATTCTCAATCGAAATCTGCCGATCTCGCGCTATCTCAATTCGCTGCTGTCACTAGCCAGCCGGCCCAATATATTGGACACGTGTAATTCCCACGTATCCTATCGTGCGCGTGAATTACACACAGCTTTGTATACGCGCGGTATGCACGCTGCATACGAAGGTATTCACAGAGAATACACGGGAAGTTGAATAGTCGGATCTGGAGAAGCATCGAGGACACACAAGGAGGAGAGATGAGAGGAGGAGAAGGTAAAACGACGGAATGGAGAGAGTTTGAGGGGTTCTATGCGCGGAGAGAGGACAAAAGGTTGCGAGAGGGGTGCGAGAGGGGCGCTTGCGCGGATGAGACTAGGTCTGGCACCTGTGGACCTCATCGATCCGTTACCGGCAAACCACACACTTTGACGTTCTTTAGTCTGTCTACCTGGATGCCGCAGTAAACCCTAACCAAGTCCCCTTGTGTCATATCCTTTCGAATTGGCCTCTGTCGTCGCTATCCTCTTCCCGAAAGTCTACTCTTGAGAAATCGATTCGCGCGTCTTTCTTGACTTTTGCTAAGTATGGATATTTCAATGTATACGCGCGTATACAAGTTGAAACTTTTAACCCCCCTTCCACCCCTAATCTTGTAAACATTAATGTCCGAGCTATTCTTGAAAATGAGAAAATCTGATCAACTATTTTTAGCGGAAGAATTTCTTGAAAATAAAAAATATATCAAAACTAATGTTATTTTCTTAATATAGGATTTTGAATAAAGCCCCAAGTGAATTATTTACAGAGGTTTTGCAACGTTTTAACCAATAAAAAAAATCGAATCAGACATAAATTTCCAGGGTTTATTACCAGGATACCTAAAAAACGTTTGCAGGATTAGGGTTAAAATTGTTTTTACTTTACACTGAGGAAGACCCCAAACTTTTTAAGTCTAAACGTACACATAGATTTTGTTATATTAAATAAATAAAAATTGGTAATATTTATTATTAACAACGACGATGACCCAATTGCTAAAAATTGTTTTCTTAATAAATGTTTTTCTTCTAAAATAGAAACTGTGTAAATTTACAATCGATAGTTTTTTTATACAGCGCACGCTTCTTTTTCGCGCGAAGAAGAAGCATTTCGTGGTTTTTTTAAATCTTTTTTTTTCCCATTGTCACAGTATTTGCAGTTTTCGAGAATATAAATTTCGCGAGAACAGAATCCTTTCAGATCTTCAGATAATGTTCGTATCGTTGAGAGAGAGAGAGAGAGAGAATATAACGACATGGTACATAGCCGAACACGACACCGCCTCGTAAAATTATTCCACTGACGCTGTTCTCGCGATCGTTAACTGGCAGTTAGGGAGAATACTTAATCAGGATTCTAGTTTCAGCGCAGCTTATGCACCTTGTTCGTGTGGGTGACGTATCATTGAACTTACTCAACAATGCGACCGCGCGCTTATGAGAACGTTACCAGCTGCGAACGTTACTTCCGGAAACAATTTAGAAAGCATTTGACAGATCGCATTTTTGAAAGATCGCGAAGAATGCGGTTTACAATATTTTAACATTCGCTAATGTAATTATTTTAATAGTCTGTTTTACCCACCTCCCCTTAAAGATACTTAAGATATTTGACCGCGATCATCAATATTTATAAAAAAAAGCATTTTAAGAACAATATACGTCTAATATACGTTTGATTAAATTTATTCAAATTTTCGATGATTTCTGCTTTTCTCAGGACGACCGCCCGATTTTGTTGCGTTCGTCATCACGATACTCATGATGCTGCTGCTGGTGGCGGGTGTGAAGAAATCCTTAGTGTTCAATAACGTGTTGAACGCTATTAATCTCGCCGTCTGGGTCTTTGTCATGACGGCAGGCATGTTTTATGTGGATTCCGACAATTGGTCCAAGCACGACGGCTTCCTTCCTTACGGCTGGAGCGGGGTAAGTATATATACATATATACATATATAGGACGCACAGAGCGGATATAGAAATGTAAAAGAGATTGCTACACACAACAAATTAATTATTGCTGTACACAACATGTATATAGAGCGAGATGAGAGATTCGTGAAGTTTTAAAAATAATATTTTTTAAGCAAATTTCATCAAACGATTATTTAACGATGCCAACTAATATCAATTGCTAAATAACATCGATGCTAAATAACACATCAATTTGGAAGATTCAAAAGAAAGTTCAGTTGCTGCAAAAATTTCGCGTTTCGCTTCTAAACCGACGATAAAGTCCTTCATTTTCGTTCGCTTATACAAATTTCATGCAAAACATTGCGAGGGCAAAGAGATTTCTTAAGCAAGTGATTTGCGTGAATTCACGGTAGTCAACAATTTTACGTCGACGGTCTTTGTCGGGCGCACTCGACGCGGATAACGAAAAGGAAACAATGAGAAGCTGTAGAGACAGGATGAAAAAGCTCTCGACTCCCCTCGGCGTGTGCCTTTTTCCGAGGCTGTGCTTCTTCCATAGATCTAACCTTTATGCCTTGACAGAATTATACCGTAATATTTTTATCGCAATGTAGCAATGTTATAATAGACATGGTATATTAAAATTTTAAGATAATATATCGACGTTGTGTCGAAGATTAAAAAAGAAAAGAGAACAGAAGAGATTGCTAATAAAAAAAAATGTATATATGAGTTTAGAAAATTTAACATCGTGACATGTAGCGCGGATTAACTAAAATTTTTTTTTGTTTTTGTTTTTATTGTCTACAACAAGATTACGATATTCGAAAACGCCGCGCCGATTAGAAAAAACGTAAAATATAAAGAAAATATTGAAAAACATTTGTAGAAAAAACTGTGAAAACACTTCTCTCTCGAACTTTTTACGCTCATTATAACGCGAGGATTGATTTGGATTCGCGCGCAAAGGAGATATCGCTGCTTTTGACCGCGTCGTTTCGCGCAGAAATTCCAGCCATTTGAGCGGCACGGAGCGGCCGAGATTTTCCTGCCTGCGGCTTGGGACTCGGTTCTGTGGGACAATGGCGTACTTGTTGCACCCTAGTAGTCGGCCCGACGGATACACACCGATAGCAGGCGACAATAATCGCGAAAGAGAAGAACGCGCATGTGAACACGAGCGCAAAAGTCGCGAGATAATAGCACTTGGTATATCGCGCTCAGTTGCAATGCGATTATCGCAAGAGATAAATATAGGACAGATCGATACGAGAAACGAGAATCTGCGAATTCCGAACACGTTCAAGGCGCGCCGAACGATGCGAGAGATAGTTTTATCTCTGTAACGCCATTTGTGGATACTCAGTCGAGAAAGTTATAGTACGAATAGTTATAGTTTGAACAGTTTGCCGTAGGGTTGAAACTGTTACAATTATAGTAGTATATAGATGAAATTTCTATAAATATTTAGACAAAGTTTCTCTCTCTCTCTCTCTCTCTCTCTCTGTTTTTTTAAAATAAAATACCGTATTTTTCGTAATCGTGAATTCTATTCGTGATTTGAGTCGAATGTTGCGCAATTCTCGTGACTGAAAAATAGCGCGCGAGTGAGATAACACGAAAAACATTAACGCGCGCGGAGTATGGCGGTGACGAATGACAAAATATCTGTCTTTCAACCGACGAGCGCGATCGGATCATTTTCCGTTTCGCTGTGCGAGAAGAATAATAATTCGCGCATTTTTCCGTGGGAAATAAATTAAAAAAATGTCCGCGGCAGAGGACACCTGCAGAAACAGATCCCGGCAATCCGTTTGGTCGCTGGTTTTCGTTCGCCGTCAATGGCGCATAAATCACGCGCCATTGTTGAGACGAACTCGACGAATTTATAAAACGGGCTTTTTATAGATGGTGTTGTTTGGATTTGTCATTTTGATAACAAAGAAAACATTCGAAATTCGATACAGTTTTTTATCTCGTCGTGAGACACACACACACACACACACACAATATCGACTGACTTAAAATTGCATTTTCTGAATTTTCATATTAAATAAATTTTATATTTAATATGAAGATCAAAGAGATTATTTTTTTTTTAATATGTACAAAACAACGCTGCGTCTCATAATTCGCGGTTTGGTAATTTATACTTTTTTGTTTTCCGCGACAATGGAGGGTTGTTTATTCGTTGTCATACCGCAACGTTGTGAAGTTTTTTTGTTTAAACGATTAGCGGATATTACAGAATTCGAGAAGGTAACATTGTTCGCAATAACGCACAATACTCATAATACGAGGTGCCGTGTGTGCACGCGCATGCACATATGATATTGATAACATGTCCATTTTTACGCGCGCACTTCGAGTATAACGGGGCAAACCACTATACACCCGCCATTATATTCCGCGCGTTCGCGTCGTGATGCAAAACGTAGAGAATCCCTTTTTACTCCATATTCCAGCGGTGTCAACGATTTTCATCATATATGACACGATGACACACACATACACCTACGCGAATTAAAATGAACGGTGACCGAACATTGGACGGTGCTACAAATTTATTTGCTTTATGGAGTAGTTAGCCGTGAGAGTACATTCTCCCTTTTCATTTCACAGATATACGCGCGGCGCCGCAATTAAACGATATTTTCATATATTCATATATGCTTAGAATATTATATAAAGAAAATTAATATATATATATATATATAATATTTTAATAGACGAATGTATATAAACGTTTATGTATGTAATATACGCGTATACACATATGCGATATGTTCCGCGAACAAATATTTATATCCGGCGCGCGCAATCATTTCAATTAATCTAATGACCTTTCGCAATTTGCAAGCAAAGTTTCGTTTGCATTTTACGTTTAACTTACGATTTCGTTATATATATATATATATATATATATATATATATATTTTTTTTCGCCTGTTACGTTATTGCATTTGTCGCGCTCTATATAGATAATTTCAATTAGAGAGAATTCTCATCACGTTTCACGTAGAATAAGACCGCGAGAGACCTTTTCCTATTGATATAATGTTCAATATCTGTGTGTGTGTGTGTGTGCGTCAATACACGTGCCGGGGACAGCACCTTTGACTTTTACAGATCCCATGTGTCGTACGTACGTGTCATCACCGAGGTGCTCGCCGCGGAGCTTCTTTAACGTGACGCACACAAACGCGCTACGTATAAAATTAAGAATTATTTTGCCGACACGCGACACACATTTCTGATTTTCTCTACATTGATTTCGTTATTCGCCTTCCCGGGTTTTGCCTTTTCTTTCGCCGTCGTTTTCTCGCCCTCTCTTCTGGCGCAATATTAGCGCGATATGTACGATCATAACGCGTGGACTCTATGGGATTTCCAGAAGAAGCGCGAAAATTCGGAAGCAAAGAGGGGGGAGCGAAACCTTTTGCGGAGACTCCGGCGAATGGAGGGAGCCGCGAGAAAGATGTGTGAAGACAAAGTCTATAGATCGGAGAGGCGCAAACGAGTGAGAGTAAGCGCGCCTCGAGTTTCTTTGTGACCTCGGCGCTTCTAAACCCGCTTGCTCCAACTCCTCGCTGTCCGTTAAAGCCCCTTGGCCGGGAAGCGTCACGTACAATCCCCAATCTGGTACAGCAGCTGTGGCGAAATTTCGTCGACGGCGAGCCATAACCGCGCGGAAGTTGGAGGATACGCGAACGGAAGATGTATCGCGAGTATGTGAAAAGAAGGAAAAATCCCCTTAAGGGCACGTCTGCTTGACGAGAATTCTTGCGGAGGAAAGAGACTTGTGTGCGGTGGGTTCTTTTGACACGCGACGTCTCGTTTGACACAGACGCTTCCAGTTTCTGCCGCGGATAAACGTGCATTTTCAGTCTTTTTCTTCTTCTCTAAGTATCCGTCGCAAAATAAGAGAAAAATATGTGATGCGCAATGCCGTTCTCTCGAAAATACTTTGGTTTTTTTTTTAAATAAATGATGAATGTCTGTTTTTTTTTTTTTTATAAATAAAATACATACATTGTGTATTTTAAACAGACATTGATTGATATTTTAGTTTTAAAAGTCAGAAACTATATGCAACAAAAATGATATATTGTGCAAGTTTATTTTTGAAGTTTTGCAATACAACTATTTTTAAGATCGCTATCTTTTTTATTCAAGTTCTTTCTTTATCCTATCTCTTTCATTGTTGGTCTTTTCTATTTTCGCGAGGCATAGCTTTTCTATTTATCTTCTTCGGTCTCTCTCTCTCTCTCTCTCTCTCTCTCTCTCTCTCTCTCTCTCAGTTGTCTTCGCGTTCAAGACGTACTTGTTTATTGTCTGATACCCGCGGCCCTGTTGATTTCCCGCTTCATTCGCGATCGCAATTCCCCGTCGAAAACCGGGGAATAAATCAATCAGACAAAATGCAATACAGAAGAAGCTTTCCAGCGCGCCGGGGTCTCTCTTAAGATTTATCTCTTTACTTCCGGTGTAATCTACGGTCTTTCATGCCGCGATTCTTCCACATCGCAAAAATTTCGAAGAAAAATGTGAAATTTCCTCGAATGGTTGTTCGCACGTATTTATTTATGTGCGAATGTAGTTTATTATTATTATTTTTTTTTTTTTTACCGTTGAACAATAGTTTCACGTTTTCTCTAACAAGAACAAACGAACAAACAAACAAACGTTTCTACTTAATTGTAATTACATAGTACGCGACTAAAATAAATAAAAAATTATTTTTTCTCTCTCCCTTCAGAGCACCTATTTAGAGGTATAGTCGGTTGAGTTTTCTGGATAATGTAAGAACGCAAGAGAGATAACGTGTGCAAAAGCCAACAGGGTCAGCTGTCCTGCTGAAAGATTCACGGCCGTTCCTTCCATCCGTCGTTTCGGGTTTTTATCGCTCGTATATCGTCTTATATAAAATCCGCCGACTTATATACTATTACACTTTCTGCGCGGTAGAAAAAAAAAAAAGTAAACTAGAGAGGTATAGAATTTTTTTCTATCGGAAGAGCAATTACCTTAAAACGCGACTTTGCTTTTCCGTCGGACGTGATAATTTTCACAAATTCGTCGCGTATAAATTCTCGTTCGCGATTTTTCCGAGTTTCCACGCGCGAAAAGTGGCAAAACCGCGCTCGCGCAAGAACCTCACACGTACACAACAATATCTCCGACGGAGTAAACATTCTCGGGAATTGTTTGCGACGCAAACGCGGAGAGAGAGAAAGAGAGAGAGAGAGAGAGAGAGAGAGAGAGAGAGAAAGAGAAAGAGAAAGAGAAAGAGAAAGAGAGAGAAAGGCTCCGCCACCGCGAGAGTTTTCCTCGTTCTGCGCTAATGGAATTCCGCAGACTGGAACACACGGGATATTTCTCGTATTTCTCAAGTATTTGAACTACGCTGTTTGCGTCGCATCCTCCCGTTGGCATCGGCGACTTTTAATCGCGACTTAACTGCGCTTTTGTGCGGCACACACATGTGGGCGCACAACAGCGCGACGAACACGAAACGGAACATATGAAAGGAGGATATTACACACATTCGGTTACATAATCCTTCCTTTCCAATGTGCGAGAATTCGCGACAATCCTGCGATAATCTTTTTTCCCACCTGATCCAACGCATATGGGGAAGGAAATTTAATTTTCGCACTTTCAGATGAGCTTCTAATATCTCCATATTTTCGGTTTGTTCGAATTTAATTGATTTTCTGGATAATTAACTCGAGCGATGCAAAAGGGGAATGGCGTTTCGCTTGAACGCTCTTTTTCCCTTTTTCCTGCAGAGAAAAGAGAGAGAGAGAGAGAGAGTAATTTGTTAGGCGAGGGATATAACAGCCTGTGCAACTCGGTTGGTTCGTGCGAAACTGTAATAATCGAGAGAGATTTCCAGCCAATTGGCAGCACCGATGACAAGACAAGATATGACAAACCGCGCGAGTCGACACTCTATGCTCATTCTTGCGCTGAGACTAATTATTTTTTTGCAAGTGATTTCTCTATTTATTTTTACTTGTTTTGCGAAAAGAGCCGCCGCCGCGATAATGGAAAACGGATAAATAATGTTTCGTTGCGCGACATACTCTTCGTATTGCGTGTCGATTAATTATTCTCGAACGCGTTTATATTTTTCGACTCTCCCCCTCTCCTCTCGTCTCATCGGAAATTCATAATCGGTTATTTCGAGCAAACGTTAAATATGCAAACACACATCGTAATATCGTATCTAAAAGCGAAGTATATTTCGCCGCAAATCTAAACTCCCGTGGGTGATTTATGTATAAACCGCAAAAGCGAAATTCACGTCGGAGCAATTAAGGGTCTTATCGATTTCCAATTATTTTATACGCGCTTCTGTATATATATATATATATTATATATATAATATGTATATATATTGTGTCTCCGCGAACGTTGTTTTTTGAAGAATCAAGAACGTCGATTTAGCTAATGCGAAATTGTTCTTTAATAAGTACATCGTGCGTCGAAGTTTTCTCTCCGGGAGAGAAGTTCGATGAAAGCGTTACGAGATATACGTTCATCCGCCGGATAAAGCTAGTTTGAATGTAATTTCACTCAAGCTCTTCTCGCTCTCTTCCTTATTTCTTTTTTTATTACATTTTCGGCTGTTTTTTTTTTTTTTTTTTTTTAATATCTCAATGTTGCGAGCAGTATTTGAAGGAATGAATGTTCGAGGAGAGTTGTCGATTGTGTTTGAGAGAGCAAATTTGTTTTTCTGCTCTCTTGATCGCACGACACCAATTTGATATTCTCATCTCTCTGTGCAGGTGTTCACCGGCGCGGCGACGTGTTTCTACGCCTTCATAGGCTTCGACATAATAGCCACCACCGGTGAGGAAGCGACGAATCCGAAGAGGAGTATCCCCCTCGCCATAGTCTCGTCGCTGATCATAATTCTCATCGCTTACGTCACCAGTAGCATGGTGCTGACACTGATTGGTGAGTAGACCATTAAAGGGCTCCTGCGAACGCGTCAACGCGTTATGCGCGGCTAGAAGCGACGCGATAGCCAATCAATATGCTGCTTTTTCGTAAGAGCAAAATGTCGATTGGCTCTACCGCGTTGATTCTTGTCACGCGTAACGCGTTGACGTGTTCTGTCTGTCATTGAACACGCCGGGCTTATCGGTTGTTCATTACACGAAACACGCTTGTTTAGGCACGAGACACCCTGGCGGGCCGTTGTGTCTCCCTCTCTCTCTCTCTCTCTTTCTCTCTCTCTTTCTCTCTCTGAATTTGTGTGTGAAACGTTGTACGTTGTCTAACGCAATTTTATTCGTGAAATTTGTATAGACTTTTGGTGCGCAATCGATAGAAAAAAAAAAAACTGCTCTGAATATCACGCGCCTGTTTTCGATATCTCGTGAAAAACTTGTTACGTTTTTTTTTTTTTTTTTTTTTTTATAACGTAAACAAGAGTTGGAAAAAAAATAATAAAACACTGTATATACAATTGTGCCTCTTTCATATTTCAGTTCCGTATCACCAAGTCGATCAGGACTCGGCGTTGGTAGAGATGTTCGGTCAAGTCGGGGCCTATAAGTGCAAGTACATTGTCGCGGTAGGCGCGCTGGCGGGTCTCACGGTCTCCATGTTCGGCAGCATGTTTCCGATGCCGAGAATAGTTTACGCGATGGCTCAGGATGGCCTTATATTTCGGTAGGAGTTCTAATAACGTGTAATTTACATTTTAATACGAGAATTGCGCGAATGTTAGTTTGATCTCAAAACGCATAAATTTTCCACTCGCTCAGGAGCCTCAGCGAAGTTTGGCCGACAACGGGAACTCCCGCGATTGCAACTCTAACTTCCGGCTTGTGTGCCGCCCTAGTTGCGTTGCTGATACAGTTGGAGGTGCTGGTGGAGATGATGTCGATCGGTGAGATTTTATATTAAACAATCTAATTGATATAACGATAAAAAAATAACACAATACAACAAAATAAAATTACTCATTAATTGTATTATATTATAAATTATATTATATTATATTATGTTATTTATATTTCGTTACAGTTTGTTTTTTCTTTTTTTTGTTTTGTAGTTTACTGACGCGTCATATAATGGAATTAAAATTGCAACAAAAAGATGCGAAAAGTGTTAAGAACTTACGTTTATCTGAACGTGATGATACGTTTTGCTATTTGCAGGTACTCTGCTGGCGTACACTCTGGTGTCCACCTGCGTGCTGATACTGCGGTATCAACCGCACTCGACGAATCTGGTCGAACTGCTGCCGCAGAGTCTAAGGACACCGTGTCGCTCGCCCACGAAAGAGACGCAGGGAAACGGTCAGCTGACTTACGGCAAAGAGCTCAGGCCTGATCAACTTGCGAGCGCGTTGACTTCGGTCCAAGTTCAGTCGGAGCTCAATGCCACCAGCAACGGACAACGCATCACAGTAAGACGTGATGTGTTATCGCATTTTCGCGACGACGCGTAATATCTCACGCTTTTCTTGTCACAACGCGTTATAGCGACAACATTTTCACACGACAAGACAACACAATTTTTCTCCGTGCACAAGTTTAGTTTACATTTACTCGCAATTGTTATATATTTATTTTTGTCTTACGATTTTGTGTTTGCATGAGCAATTTAGAAACGACTCCTCGGCGCCGTCTTCAATTTTTTTTTTTCGAATTGTAGTGAAAATTTACACACGATCGAATCTGTTCACATTTTCCAGGTGCGACGGGTAAGAAGGTGCAACAGTTCGTCGCCGGATTCGGACGACACGTACGGCGGCGAGGAGGACGAAGTGGGATTAGGTAAGGACGATCAGTATCTCGTCAGCGACCGAACGGAGAATAAATTCTACGGAAGCGTGCACGCGGCCGCAGCCGCCTCGAGTTGCGGTAGCGCTCATCAATATCCTGGAAACACGCCGATCATAGGACCACCGTTGAATTATCTACAGCGTCGATTGCAGGTATCGGAATCGAAGTAGCTCGGTGAAATAAAAAGATCAACGAATTTTTGTCCCGTGAACCTAACGAAAAAGAAACGGACAGAAATAGAATTTTTTTTTCTTTTTTTTTTTTATTGCCGATCCTTATTTCTCCCATTAAATTTCTTGACGCGCATATTTACATTACATAAAAAAAAATGGTTTTTATATAGAAACCATCACTCATCACGAAGATAATAAATTGTGACGTTTCGTAGGCGGCGCAATATCTTTGTCCTGCTATATTTCCGTGGGTCGACAGAGGTCCTGCGACAGAAGCGTCAGGACGTTACGTCATGAAGCTCGTTGGAATTTTATATATCTTGATCCTTATCTTTGATCTGATTGTTGTCTGTGGGATGGGTGAGACTACATACAAATTTTTAATAACATATTCATTGTACACACACGAGAGAGAAACCTCTTTATTCGATAAATCTTTATAAATAAAATCTTTAATAAATTCCACAAGGAATAATTTGATAGAAAAAAATAATTTTTTTCTATTAAAGTTTTTCTTTTTTTTCTACTTTTCTTTTTTGCAGGTAACATGGGAACGTTTACAACGATATTACTATTCGTTTTTCTCTTTGCCATAATTGGTGTACTTCTCGCCATCAGTAGAAAGCCACAAAACAGGTACAGGTTTAATCGATGTCGTAATTCGCGAAACACTTTATAACAAGCGTATTGACCAAGCGTATATTGACTTGCTCGCATTTCGATGTTTTAGGAATAGCGTAATGTTCATGACTCCAGGTTTGCCCTTCGTCCCCGCGATAGCCGTTACCGTTAATATTTATCTTATCTTCAAGCTCAGTATTCTCACGCTAGTCAGATTCACGGTCTGGATGACTCTCGGTACGTAATTGCGTCAGTTTCTCTCGTTTAAAATCAAATGCAAATAGAAAATTTGTTTGTAAATCAAAACATAATTAGTTTTTCATATCGATTTTTACTGAAAATACAATCACACACACAGGTGTTCACTTAATTCACGTCTATTTTGTATTTGCCGTCAGGCTTTGTCATGTACTTCCAATATGGTATTAAACACAGCAGTCTGGAGGAGGCGAATGCGTCAGATATCGCCGACGATTGTGCTGGCGGCACGGCCGGCAACATCGAGCTGACGGTTACCGATCATCATCAGCAACAGAAATATATAACGCCGGATCGCAGCATCTATGAGAGCCAGCAGCTGGACGCGTTCGGCCAACCGGTATTCGGTAGCACGAACTTTGGCGGCACGCCGAGTCAGCAGCACATGGGCATAGGCGGTCATCAGCAAAGACAAGGAGCGGCGGGCGGCAACCGCATCGACCAAACCGCGCCGACGACGACGGGCAAGACTCTGTTCATCGATCAGGACAACTTCCCCACCTGGGACGATTGAAAAGCGTCTCACGCGGCACCGAGCGGATATTAATGTATACATAACATACACGAATAGAAAGAGAGAAAGAGAGAAAGAGAGAGAGAGAGAGAGAAAGAAAGAGAAAGAGAAGAGAAGAGAAGGGATTCACAACACTTGATACATACACACGCGCGCGCGCGCGCGCGCGTGCAAGAACCGACGTCGGATGATTGTTGGTGCAACAGACACTTCGGAAATTGCGATGGTTTTCGCGTTCGAACGCTTTTTAAGAAGCTGCGCCGAGGTCTTCTCGAACACGACTACACGATAACTTTCAACGGACGATTATCGAGAGTTAAATGCTGTGTTAACGTGAAATAATATATCGTACTAAAACGAGTTCAGATGAATGCTTAAACGTCTGCTTTCTAGAGATGTCGATTAGCACCGACTAAAAGATTACTTGACTGTATAACGTTCAACATTAAAAGCAGGTAAGACGAAGAATCTAAACTAGTAGTTGAAATTAAGAAACTAGTGAAAAAAAGATCGATAATTTTTATAACTGCGCCTAGTCGTGGCCCCATTATTTCTTCAAATTTCTATTGTTTCCCTAAATGCCCATCTCAAGATCAAGTTCTCATTGAATTAAACTTGTGCAAACATTGTACTTAGAGACACATCCAGTAAATTGGCTGTAAAGTACTGTCGAACACTTCAAACTAGATCGCTTTAGAAAAATAATGCTGACGCTCATAATCGTCCGCTCGAAGGTTACATCTTATATCTTGAAGTTCATCTTTTAGAATTGAGATTAGATCGATGCGCGCGTGAACGTAAACGGAGAGGCCAAGAACCGTGATACTCCGAGGATCGAACTTGTTGATTACTATTTGGGACGAATGTAGCAAATAATTTTTGCGGCAATATTTATTATTCTAGTAACATAGTATCGTTGACGAGAGGTTGCGAGTGAGAAAAGGACGAAGAGAAGAAGGACAGAAGAATGGAGCGGTGAAAGAAGTAGAGGAATGTGCCGAAGGGCGTAAAGATGTGAAAGCGCAAAAGGGGCTGAATAGAAAAGAGACGATAGAAGCATTAAGAAAGAAAAGCAGATGTGAAAAGACCATTACCATTAGTATAAGGCGAAACTTGTGTTTTCCAAGAGAGAGAGAGAAAGAAAGAAAAAGAGAGAGAGAGAGAGAGAGAGAGAGAGAGAGAGAGAGAAAGAGGGAGAAACAGCGCGTTCTAACTGCTAATTATAAGTTCGAATTTATTTCTAGTTTGTGAGTGGAAGAATGCGAGATGAAACATGAGAGTGTGTTGGTGCGAAAGGGTGAATGAAAAGCGTGCAAGGATGTGAAAAACACAGAATGAAAGTGAAAGAGAAAGAGAGAGAGAGAGAGAAGAGACAGAGTGAATAATATAATGAGGTGTGCCTGAGAGTATAACAAAAAAAAAAAAGAAAAAAAAATTACGTACGAGTGTGAGTTTGAGTAAAAAGAGAAGACTCTAATGAACAAAAAAGAAAAGAAAAACATCATCTTGCCTAACTTTAGTCTTTCCCAAGAAAAAAGAAGTTTAGTCTAACATATTATAATCGTAACGTATCTAAGCTTACTACAATATTTACATACGTCTTACCTCGAGTAAACCCTTTGATTATTAATTTACACGCAATTTGTATAAATTATCTAGAAACTAAGCGCACGTCGTCTCCCAGAAACTTGAAAGATTTGAACAAAAAAGTGAGCGTGTGTGTTAGGTTTGAGACTCTGCAGGAAGAATAAAAAACATCTAAAAAGAATCGAGAGAGAGAGAGAGAAAGAGAGAGAGGAGAATTTATGGAAATATGAATTCTAATCTTAGACGCGCGTATTAACATTTTACATTCTCGTATTTCTTTATATTTAGTTAAAACCCAAAACAGTGTGTTTCTTCTTGCAAGAGTTGAGATGCACCAAAGTGATTCCGAAAAAAATAGAAGCGAGAAGAAACAATTCGAGAGAAATTATCAGCATATATTAAAGAAGTAAATTCTTCTCCCAATTTTAATTTCGTCCGTTTCTTGCAAAAGTTACACGATATATATCTCGAAAAAAAAAAAAAAAAAAAAAAAAAAAAAAAAAACGGAGGGAGACGATGTGGAAATAAGATTTTCGTTTTCGTATACATATCTTCGTGTACATATCTTCGGTGTTTTCGAAACAAACCGTTTCTCCGTACGTGCACAAGTCCATTGTGCTTCTCTGTCCGCTAGTGTGTTCCGCGCGATGAATCGAGGATAGCCTTCATTACATATATTACTCCCGAGTAATTAAGGTCGGGAAGATGCGCGCCCGTGTCTCCGATCTCGAGCGCGAATGCATGTGCGCTACGGCCACGTGCGATTACTTATTCACGTCACGTGAGAGGTTCCAATTAGTTTCCGTTGGTGTAATTCTAGATAAACTCGGGGAAAAAAAAAAAAAAAACAATTTGCTATATTTTATCACATAATTTTCATTATTTTCTTTATCGGTGCTTTTTGTCGCTCGCGTTATAAATTTTATTTGCGAATTAATTATTTAAAAAACAAAAACCGAAACAAAACAGCTCGCGAAAAAAATAAGCGGTCTGTTGTTTCGAGCTCGCGACGCGGAGACACGGAGTTGTGGCATATTATTCGACGTTCGATCGTGCATCTCTTCCAGAAGAGCGTCTCGACGCGTCGTCGCAAACTTATACGCGTGTCGAAACACTCGAGAAAACCGGCCGAGATCGTTGGCAGGTACAACGACTCTCGACCCCTTTAACGATCGCTTTTCGCGACATTTGTATTTCTTCTCGTGTCTGTATTTACTTTTTTGTCCAGCTGCCTCCGCCTACTTTACTACTTTTAGGACGTCGCGTTGCCTCGCGTCGCGTTCGACGAAAAAACTCGCTCTCCGCGACTCTCGAGTCGTCCGACACTCCCGCGTCCCTTTTCCCCACGTTGAACGGAATTCGACGATATTAAGTAACGATAGAGGACGAGTTCTCAGGGTGCGAACGATCGCGCGGAACGAAATTGTTGACAAATCCTAAGAGACACGACGAATATATCGAATATAAAAACTTCAGAACTTCTATAAAACTTCAGAACGCGACTATACTGTTTTATTCGTCCATACGACTGCATAATAAAATTGCACTTATTGCGATTGTTTTATCTTTCCCGTCATGACTGAACACACATCGTATACTCTTGGAGGGTTCTAGCGTTTGTTGGTGCGAGTCTACTAGTTACAGAAAATGTGTATATTCACTTTTATATATAAAAATATATTATATATATATATATATATATATACACATACATATATACATATATGTGTAAAGAAATTGTTCCTTCCGCTCAAGGAGAAGATTTAGATTTAGTTAATAATGTTATTAATTAATAATGTTATTAATTCAAAACGCGAGACAAAGATGCGCGGTAATATAAAAATATAAGCGAAACGAAAGATTTATCTGATCGAAACACGCAAATGAAAAAAAAAATAATAAAAAACAATGTGCACGTGTGCGCGCACGCTACGACATATTTTTATTGTACGAGTAATTTTATCGATATATAATCAAAGCTGCGCTTTCACGTTTATTTTTTGTTGTACGTGATCGCCAGCTTCTCCGCACTAACAAACAAATTCGTTCTAAGGTCGATCGTTTGCCCCGCGATCCCCTCTCATCGGAGCGTTTCAGTTTATCGCGCGCGAGTTCTTTTCAGCGGAAATCACACACACACAAATAGGCTTTCAAATTAATATCTCTTGTGAAGAAAAGAAGAAAAAATAACCAGAAATATATATCTATATATATACACATACACATACACATACACACACATATATATACACATATACTCTGTGATCGAAACTGTGTATTCTTCGAGCGACGGCGAATGAACGTCGATCGTTTCGCGTTTCAAGCGTAAAAAAAAAAAAAAAAAAAAAAAAAATTGATTCCGAGGATTAAAAAGAAGAGATACTCGACACGCTACAGGGGCAGGTCGAGAGCTTACGTCTCGCTTTTTATTCTCCACATATCGATTGGTGATCTTTTCACATATCATGTCTTGCACACGAATTCTCGCGGCACGGAAAAGCCGCGGGACACGTTGCGTGATTAAATATATAGTTAGTCCTGCGCCGCGGCGCGTATGTTGATTCCGATATATATGTAGATATATATGTAGAATACACTTTCTATACACACAAAAACACACTGTTCGATTTTTTAGGAGACGATGATATATATATATATATGTGTATATATGTATATATATATATATATATATATATANTATGTATATATTTACGCGACGGTAAAGATAATCGAGCTGAAAACTCGCGCTTACGCTCTTTAGTGTGTGACGCCTTTTTTTCTCGCAACAGGTATCTTCTCACCTTTTCTCAATTTAATTTCAATCGAGAACTCAATCGACAAAGAAAACAACAGATTTCGATTAAATAAAATTTTTTTTCACCATTTTTTTCTATATCTGTTTTGGGACGCGTACGCCCTGATACATTCAAACTTGTCATCTGACTTGCCATCCGGTTACGGAAGTGTAACAAGAGAAAATTTAAACGCGATCGAAATTCGTGTGGTTTTATTTTTTTTTTAGAGGAGCGCAGGCGCGAAATATTCACGTTTGCAATGCAATTTGCGGCGCATCTGTTCCTTTCCTTTCCATTATCCGATCTTCTACTTCCCCTGTAATGTCGCGGATATCTTAGGGAGCTGTTTCATCGAGCTGAATCTACGTCACCGTGATAATACGTCGCCGATGTGCGAGAAACTCATACTCGAGATTTACAATGAAACTTCACAATGGTACACACACACACACACACACACACACACACACACACACACACACACACATACACGCGCAACTTCTCTCCGAACAAAGTACAAACTTGTGCCGTAAGACGATTTTGCTTGACGTATTGGCATAAACTTGTGAGATCATGTATTTAATCAACGCGAATTGAGGATATTTTCAAAGTAACGTTAGAAACGAACGCAATCGGGGGGGAGGGGGGGAGGAAACACGCGTACTCTCTCGGAAAATCACGGTGACGTATAAGAAGCGTGTTGTGATTTGCGAACACAGGATTGTGATACTCTAGATATCCTTATACTGTCCGCGCGAGCACGTTAGCCGTTTACAGCGATATCGTGCTTTTAGCGATTTCTTCTTGACGAAACAGAAAGTTCATTCTGTGAAAGAACAGTGCCTGTACACACATTTTCCCGGACGTTAGACGAGATGAGTAGAAATCCCTTCCTTGAAACGAACGAGAAAAAGTCACGCCGATTGAAATAGGATGAAGAGACTAATGAAGAGAAAATCGGAAAAAATTTTGTTTTATATTGGTAACATATCCTTGTCAAAGAGAATAATCCGCATAATCGTTGTGTTCCAAAGTTCACGCAGAAATAAAAATGTCACGCTAGGTTTTTTATTTATTAATTGATTATATATATTTATTAATTGATTATGTATAATATATGTATAATACATATATATACATATATAATTTGTATGATATATAATTATGTATGTATAATTATATACATATATATACTTTTTTGAGAAAATTAGAAATATTAAAAATACTTCAAGTGCGATATTTTTATCTTTCTCATATTCTTCGCCCGACAATTCGAGTGTGCTACTTAATTAATGCGAATAACATTGTTAGTAGGCGGATTTCTTGTGAGATCACGTGTCTCGGATATATTTCGGGAAGAGAGAAAAAGAGAGAGAAAGAGAAAATTACACGCGAGATAACGAAAAAGAATAAACGCGGCACATCGCTCTTTGATCTTTTTAGTTAGTTTTTTAAATTTTTAGATAGGGAAGAAATGGCCTATTTTTTGCACATGTGTTGATGAAATATATATAACGAGGGTACAAACTTTGAAAAAAAAGAGAAAAATAAGATTTAAATCAGAGAGAGAGAAAGAGAGAGAGAGAGAGAGAGAGAAACAACTCGATGCTTTTGAAGAACTACGATGAGATAAAAGTAATCACATGTAACGAACACATAAAAAAGAAGTCACGAGAACGTCCGAAAAGGATATTTGAAGACGATTCAAGAGATCGGGAGTCACGTATCTAATTGGATGTCTTCAGAGTGCCTCTAGGAAACGGACGTTTGACGAATGTGTAACGAGACACGTTGCATCAAACCCCCTATATAAGCGTATCTCGTTGACAGCTGGCTCTGCAACACGCTGCAGAAAATATCTTTGACAGTTTAGACGACTGCGAATTGAAAGTATACGTGTATTTAGCTCTTCAGAAATTCAGTTTGTATTTTCTCTTTTCGTTCTCTTCGAGAAAATCCTTCTCGTGAAGACCCGACGTGTTTGTAAAAAATTTATTCTTTACAAAACAAAAATACAAATACGCAATAGCATTCCGACGATGAAATTTGTTCCGAAAGAGTTTACGTGTATATTTTATTGTACATCTTTGATATAAATATTCTAAACAATAAAAAGCGCGAACGAAAGAGATATGTTGACTCTTGGGTAGCGATATTTCGATCTGCGTTTAAAGCAAATTACGTAAAGTAAATTTACGACAACGTACGCGCTCACGCACACTTTACGAATTCTATATGTCGCTGTAAACGCGAGACACTCCTATATCGGATTGTGAAAAAAAAAAAAAAAATGTGCAACTCCGACGAGCGGATTTAATCGCACTTGCTCGAAAATGCGAATTCTGAAAAGGATACGAGAGAGAGGTCGGAGAAGAAAAACAAACCGACTCTGTTAAATAAATCATCCGTAAAACAGAAGAGCGTTAGTTTATTTTATTTTTATTTTTTTTTAAGCGTCGGCAAACGTTCCGTCGAAAATTTCGCGAGAAACGCTACACGATTTTGGTCGAGAAAGTATCTAAAGACGTGAAGATAAAAACTTTCTTGTCCTTAATCAAAGCAGAGAGAACGAGCGAGAGAGCGAGAGAGAGAGAGAGAGAGAGAGAGAGAGAGAGAGAGAGAGAGAGAGAGAGNGAGAGAGAGAGAGAGAGAGAGAGAGAGAGAGAGAGAGAGAGAGAGAGAGAGCAAGAGCACCAGGAGTAAAACGAGGAACGTGAAGAAAAGATATGTATAGAGAGAATGCGAGTGTGTGAATGATGTAAGTATGTGTATATGATATACATTTGTTTTTTTCTCTCGGGACAGTCGGGTGAAGGGCACTCGAGGTATCTCGGGAAGATATATGCGCACGAGAAGGACAGAATTTTCCATGTAATATATATACCCTTACGTAAACTATATATACGTTGTTTAATATTGATAAGGATCAAAAATAAATAAAAATAATTCAAAAATAAAAGTGATTATTCAAAAGCTAACGCACAAAGTGCAAAGTTATTCGATATTTCCTCTTTGTGTGTGTGTGTGTGTGTATGCGCCCGAAAAGTGTGTAATGTATGTAAAATGCATATAATTATTTGACGATTTTCTCATCGTTTTTTTTTTTTTTTATACATAGATCGCTATTTTTACTCGGATCAGATATTTATATAAATTTTATCTTCCTTCTTTAACTTAAAACTATTTTTATCGCGTGAAACTTTTATTTGAACATATACGTGTGTAATATATATTTTTTATTATAAACAACAATATATAGTAATAAATATCTGCAATAACAATAAAAATACGCAAAATCAAAAATTAACAAATTTAATTGCGAATGCGCTTCTCAGCACGTAATTGATATAATTTTAATTTAACGTAAAGACAGTGATATATGGTTATTAATGCCTGGAGAGAGAAAGAGAGAGAAGAAAAAAGAACGAAGTAGTATTGACCTTTCGTTGTCAGACAGTTTCCGCGGCGCGCCCAATCAGTAGTTACTGACTGTCATTAGACGGACGATGTCTCTAACGCTGAAGTTGTTCACGTAAAATAACGCCGCGGAAACCGATTGATTCTCATGTTTATCGATAATATAAATTTTTTTGTTTCTTTTAATTGTTTATTGGATATACATTTATATATATCTTGAGAACTGATAGTTAAATAATGTTATAATGATTATTAGTCACTGTAAAAAAAACAATCCTGATTCATCGGTTCCATCGTATAAACACGCGTCGCAACACACGGAAACTATTGAGATTGTGACACGTGAAATATTCGTCGGAAATTATCCGACGAGTATGCTTGTTATGTAATAACAAAGAATTGGCTCTTCCACAAGGTAAGAAACTCGTCGACGCGTCCTCCATTCATGCTCGAAACACAATTCCGATACGGGGAGAAAATGTCAAGGCTCGTCTTCGCGCCGAGAGAATCGTTTTTCTGTTCCGAGAATGGACATTCTTTTCGTTCTTTGTAAAAGCAACAAAATACCCGAGAGAAAAAACATCTTGCGTGAGAAAGATAAAAAATTTTATTATCAGTTTCCACGAAGATGTATAAACTTTTACACAGTTTTTTTTTTTATATGTGTAAAATATAAAAACAAGAAGTATAGTAAAAATTTTATACTACATATATCGCGGATTATAAAAGTTCAGTTTAAATCTTCTTCTGTTTGCGTTGCATGCTAAATTGAAAATAAAACGCAGCTGGTAAATAAAATTGAGAAAAAAACAAGCGACCGGTCTCTTCTTCTTGTGTCGCGCGAAAAGAGGCACGATTATCCTTGTTGCCACCTTGTTGGCGTTCTGCGACGCAGGTGATGTTGTCTTCTCCCGCTCTCACACATCTGCGCGTGAAGATGATAAAAGCATGCCGGAACGCGACAACGCGTAGTAGTCTTTCTGCGGAGATCGAACCGAAAAGAACGCGATTTGATTCGGCAAAGTGAAATGGCCTTACTGCTTGTTCGTCTGCTGGTCGGTTGCGGGATCTTTGTTATAACAACATGTGAGTACCAGTTTACCCTAATTCTACGTCTCTATCTATCATTATTTACTTGCTTTTTTTTTCAAATCACTTACATTTCGCAACAGTGCGACATAAAATCCTTGGTAAAAAAAATTCTTTCCGTAATAAAAATTTATTTTGTTCTTACGTAACAAAGAAATTTTTATATAATAGAAATTTATTTCCACATAGGTGTGCGCGTGACACAAATTTCGTGACGATGTTACTTTTTCCGCTCTTTCTGTGTCTCGATATTCTGTCTTCTTCTGTTGACGGACACATAAAATTTTCAACGAAGATACTCGACTGCGACACAAAGTTCAATAGTTGCTTTACATAAGTTGTAATGAAAAGTTAAAAGGCAAAGAGAAGCACAAGAGCGTGTTCTCAACATTGTTACGCAACTTTTTTATGAAAACTTGCGATAAACAGTCCGCGGTTAACAAGGTAATAAGATTGGCCGAGATCCAACGGGCTCAGGAAATTCGTGTACATACATTTTTAATGAATTCGACGCGAGCCGCATAGTATTTTCCGACGGAGCGGAGTCGTACGTATGCTTGGTCACGAGCGCGCAGTCGGTTAGTTTGTATGCGCGCGATGCGCTTTCAGACTGCTAGATAAATAAATTGTTAAGCTCGAGACTTAGATAAATACGAATATCAATCCTTTGTTGTTGCGGCTAAATTTGGATGTAGCATACGTAACTACGTTGAGATGCAAACAGTTTTTTTTAAACGCGCGTAACATAAAAACCACCAACTTTTGCGGTTGCAACTTTCGTTGCGATAAATAAATTAAAAACGCGAGAGACTCTCTCGATTATTTCGAATGTGTGCTGGTTTTTTTCCATGAAAAAAGAAAACTCTTTTTTAGATAGAGAGACGAAATCGATGTTTGCCCACGTCGAATTAACGACCGTACGACGTCGAATTTGTTGTAATCGGCAAGACTTTTCCCCCTGTTGTTTGTTCGCGCTCTTTATCTCGTGCAACTTTAACTTCTCTCGTGAAACTTCTCAAAAGATCTTCCACCAAGAAGTCGCTTCGCGTCCGCAAAACTATCGATGGAATATCTTCACATTCTCGTGTAATTTTTCCGGAACTTAGAGAAGATTTTTCGTAGATAAGTATTTTTGCATATTTTTCGTTTTATTTGTTTGAAAAAATGTTCTTTTGCAAACAATCACGTACTTCTGTATTTGTATTTTTCCTTCACGAATGTGTGTTGGTTGATTTCACTCTTCACTTTGCTTCTAAGAGTAACTTTCAGACTCGGCAGGTCCAGTACCGCCTGCGGCGTGATCGGTTACGAGCGGCGTGTAAGGTATTGCGCAAACGAAGCGCAAATAACGTATGCGACGACGTCTTCGTAGAGGTCGAACGCCGGCGATCGCCGAACTTTCGCCATCACGTGATAATCGCGTATGTTGCCTTAATGCGTCTTATTAATACCTTCTGCAGACGGACCTGTTTGACCAGTTTTGTGCGCAATATTGCGTTCAAATCAGTGGAAACTGTTAACGCTTGATAAATTTTATAATTAAAATTATACATAGGTGAGAAGAAAAAATTATTTTGACAATTCGGCTTTTTATTTTCTTTAAGTTGAAAAATCTGAAGATACTTGCGATAAATTGTTAGATTCAAAATAAGTTTCGAACTCAGTATTCGAAAATATTTTTGCATCATCATAATTAATAAAACAATTTATATACGAAAATATAAAATTAAAAGATTTACGTTGCATTTCTTTTTTTTTTTAGCGCTTAATCAGAACCATAGATTCTCGAATCAACTGTTCGACAATCAGCTGAATCGCGATCAGAGACAGTTCTCGCAGAAAAGCGCGGCGTCCGCATCGTGTCCGGAGCGAAACGGCCGTTATCCCGTGCAGAATCAGTGCGACGCCTACATCGAATGCATCGACGGAATCGCCGAACAGAAGCTGTGTCCCGAAGGCCTCGTTTACAATCCCGAGGCTCGTTTCAATTATCCCTGTGGATATCCGATCGACGTGGATTGCACAGGCAGATCGAACTTGCGTGAGTTATATACTGTCAAAAATTTACTTTAAATGTTGTTAAATCTCAATAATTTCAACGATTCGAATTAAAAAAAGAGACGTCGGAGTTTTATGATAATTAAAAGCGAAGAATCGTGCATTTACGACTCAACTTAAATGCGGCGCGATCGGGTAACGAATTTGCCGTTGAAAATTCTTCCAGAGCCGGCACTCCCGACCGATGATTGTCCCCATCAGTACGGTTATTTCAAGATCGGCGATCATCAGCATTGCGGCCAGTTCATGAATTGCGTCGACGGTCGCGGCTACGTGTTCGATTGTCCGGAGGGTCTGGCCTTTAATCCGCAAACATATCGCTGCGACTGGCCGGATCAAGTGTCGGATTGCGACGCCGAGACTTTTCTCGGCTTTCGCTGTCCGGAAGTGAAAGACAGCTTCTTTCAGGAGGGCGAGATCAGGCTCTATCGCAGCAACGTTGACTGCCATCACTATTACATCTGCGTGAACGGCCGTCCACGACTGCAGAACTGCGGCGAGGGAAATGCCTTCAACGAGCTCATCGACGCGTGCGACGCCGCGGAAAATGTCACCGGCTGGTAAATGATATTTAAAAGAGATCCTTTGTCCTTTTGCGCCGTTCTATTTTCCTTTCACCTGTGTGTTATTACATTGTTATTCTCTAAGATTTTTATAACTTTTCACATTATTCCTCTTACGTGTGGTGTGTTTATTTTGAGTTTAAATGTAAAAAAACTTGTGTCTTTTTTTTTCAGCGAACACGAAGCAATAGCAAGAACCACTCCGTCGTCTCTGCAGACGAGGCTGTTTTAAATATTAGTGGTACAATTGGAAGAGACGGTCGATTGTTAACGCAATAATTTCGAATGTTGTGTGATAAAAATTGCAGCGATAATAAAGTGAAATTATTTAACTACACACGCACACACATGTGTGTGATTTTAAAGATACGATTAAAAATACATACGGACGCAAGTAGAAACATTTGGTTATGATAGAAACATGTATATAAACTATATGCGCTGATGCCATAAATTAAATAATGTGTGTATATATATATATATATATATATATATATATATTAATAGATAAGTCTATACTTTTTAGGAATTATAGAAAATTTCCCGAAGATGATTTTCAGTTTACTTCATCATGGCGTTCAAGAGCAGCCTGATACTGTCTACCGTATTTATTAATTCAATATATTAAACTCAATATATATTGAGGTTTTCTCTCGTGCGTGACAAAAAACCAGTTTTTACCGAATCTATAATAGATCTCACGGTAAAAAAAAGGAAAAAGTTGGATGGGGGATTGGAGAGAAAAACACAGGAAAAACGTGTATCGCATACGTGCAATTAAAATATACTATTATTATTATTTAACGCGCAGTACAGTTGCTTAAAAAATATAATAGCTAATGTAATCCCGGATGTACGTCGTTGAAAATGCCGCTATTCACACGCAATACACACAAACGCACATACACGCACACGCACACGCACATATGAAAAATGATAATAGAATTACATATACGTGTTCGGCGGCAACGTAAATAAAAAATTCCATCTAAATCACGGTGTGGTCGATGGAATGGCCCGGAGTGAGTTCGTATATAAATATACATGTATATATACACACACACGTGTATCTATACGTTTGACTTGAATGCACGCTCGTTTTTCGCTTGTAATTAACAAGGGACGCTAATTAGCGGTGTTTTAGGAAATTGGGGAGCGTTTACAAGAAGCAAACACGCGTACACAATCTTCTTTGAACGTTACACTCCACACACACACACACACACACACACACATCCGAACAGCATACGATTGATGCGAGTAGTACTGACTTCTTTTTGTCCAAAAATCGATTTACGCAATTGTTCATCGCTTCCTGTTGCAACGCATCCGTAAATCTTGTGTACAAGACGGTTTTATCGAGCTACACATCGTTCGTAACTAGAAAAAACGTTTGAGCAACGACGTTTGCACTTCCGGTAAACCGTGAAAAATTATACTTGCGACAAGCGCAAACGAAAGGACATGATCGTTTATTTTCGCGGATTCGCACACTTTTAGAGAGAGTATGTACACACACAATATTATCAAAAATATTTTAATACACATGTACAAAAGAGAAAGATAATGCTTTACGAAGTATATTATTAAAATTACTCTTACGTAAAACAAAAAAAACTTCAATTTTTCAAGTGTTCTCACTGATGCGATTGCTACATATCCGATTTATTCTCACGTAATGTCGTGATACAAGTTGATAGTTCGGGGAAATCGTGTAATTGTATGTATATATATATATATATAATATATTTTGTATCAAAAATATATTCGACTTGATTTCAATTTGAATAACGTATTAATTTTATTCATTCAATCGGAAGCAACTGTTTTTCGTTTAAAAAAACAAAAAAATCGTTAATCACTCGCAATCGCGTCACATGCGAGCACGAATTTTCTATTGTCACGAGACTAACCGTGACATAAAATTTCTTCGGCAATATTCGGCAACGTTTTTTTTTTTTTTTTTTTTGTTTTTTAAATTCGCGCGTTTCTTCCCAAATCGGGAATAGAAATGCGCGTCGCGCATGCTTGTTTAATTGCATCACGCGCGACTATTTTTTCGCTTAAATATCTCTCGCGTCGACATTGTCTGCGTCGTCACACGCTGCGAGAAGTGCGAACGTAGGAACCGGATTCTTTTCTTTTCGCTCTCTTAGTCTGTGGCAGTTGCCGAGAGTGAGATTCTTTATCAGTTTGGATCACCGAGTGCGCTTCCTCTTCTGATCCGATCGGCAGTCGCGCGTGCCGATTTTGGATCGCATTAATTTTAATAAGTGTGAATCCAGCGCGAGAGGCGCTATGGCAATGTGGGCTTAAGAAGAGGAAGAGCCTTTCTCTTCCCTCGGGCTTACGTGTTGCGCGTANAAAAAAAAAAAAAAAAAAAAAAAACGAATTCTATAAATATATATATATACTAAAGAGTCCTAGAGGATTCACGAATTATCAAAATCAATGAAACGGAGGACGCACGACGCGGACAAAAACGGCTCTTCTCACCAGGATCGATTTCGACACTTTCGATTGGGCATGTCGTGCAGACAGCTCTGCGTCTCCTCGTCGAACGCCGTGCCCTCCTCGCACACGAACCGGAAGTCCAACACCTGCCGCGCGGTGAAACCGGGCGAGCAGTAATGAAACAATCGACAGTCTCTCGTGTCGCCGTAGAAGCGATACATCTCCTTCTCCAGGCAATTGAAGCTCGCGTGTTTCCGGAGATTGTTCGCGAACTTCCGATTGCTAGGTTTGAAAACCGCCGGAGGTTTCGTCGTGACGGAATTTACGTTTTCCGGTTTATATTGAACGGTCGTCGAAATCGGAATCGACGTAACCGGATACACAAAGGTGACCGAGGGAATTTCCGTGACATTCTGCTGAACTTCGATGGGAGCCAGCGTGGGTTTCGATTGTTCAAGAATTATCTTATCGGTGCTAGTCTCGATGTGCGATTTTTCGGGATCCAGCGTCGTCGGTAAAATTGTCACGAAGATGTCGGTCGTTTCCGTCGTTTCTTGTTGTTGTTCGATCTCCTTCGTCGTTTGCTCGACGGAAGATATCAGAGTGGATAATCTGGACAAAGGATAAGGAGTAAACGTCGTCTCGATTTTCTCGGTCGAAATTTGCGGCTCGGTATCTCTGGACGAGTTGGCGGGGATTTTCTGCTCGGTCGGGCTCGGAAGCTGATCCTCCTTCTCCGTCTGATCGTACTTCGAGTCGAGAAGCGCAGGCTCGTTCTTCTCCAGTTTGCTCTCGAGAACATTCTCTTCGCTTTTTCCGGACTCCGTTGTCGTGATGGTCGCTATTGTCGTCATCACGGATTCCATCGTAGTCTCCGGGATTTCTGTATTCAGCCTTTCTTTAGTAGCAGTCTCGGTAGTGGGTGTAGTGGTGCTAGTAGTGGTGGTGGTGGTGGTGGTGGTGGCAGGTTTACGCGACAAAGAAAGTTTCCTGATCACCGGCTTCGGCGCTAACTCGTTGTAAGACTTAGGCGGTTTCGCCGGCTTCGGATTGTAGAGGCCGACTCTCGGTTTAATCACCACCGGATTCGGAGTGGTCGTGGGAGGAATATATGCGAAGATCCTTCTGGATCCCGTGGGCTTAAAGAGTTTTGGCGGGGTAGCGCGAGGAGTGGTAGTTGTTGGACGAGGAGTAGTAGTAGTAGTAGTAGTAGTAGTAGTAGTTGTTGTTGTTGTTGTGGTGGTGGTTGCACTGGTCGTTAAAGTTGCTGACGTAGTCGATGTTGGTGTGGTCGAAGAAGTTGCGGTTAAGTTTGTTTCTTCCGTAGTTTGTTTAAGATCGATAACTTCAGTAATACCTTCCACATACTCCGTCTGCGTTACCGCCTCGACGTCGGTCTCGTGCGTTTCAATGTTCTTCTTACGATCGACGTCTTTTGCTGTATTTTTATTTTCTTCTTTTTTATTGTTTTCTTCCTTCGTCTTCTTTTCTTCTTCTTCGAAATCGTACGATTCGGTTGTGATTTTTTCCATCTCCTTGTAATTTTGCGGCTCGTAATTGTCATCGATGTAATCGTGCACATCGATTTTCGAAGGATATTCGGGCTCCTTCGTCTCGACATCTTCGTCTTTCGAATCAAATTTCGGTAATTCGTCCGTGAACTTCAAGATACCTTCGGTGCTGGATTCGAACGAATTCGCGTCTTCGTGAGAATCGGTGTATTCCTCGAAACTCGTGCGATCCGCGGATGTTGTCGAATCCTTGGTGTTTTCCGAATCTTTTTCGACGTCACTTGCGTTTTCCACCGATAACTCCGTTGTGTCTTGATACTCGTCCAATTCCGCGGAAATTGTCTCTTCGTTGTATTTCGTTGTGGTCGAGGATTCCTCGTCCTCGACGTTCGCATCATCAACGTTCGAAGTCACGTGATCGGATTCTTCTTCTTGATGGGAGTTGTCCTCGCGAGAAGAAGTTGCTGCTTCGCGGGAAGATTTTTTGTCCGATATCTGTTCCGAGCTTTCTTCGTAGGACTTTTCGTTTTCATTCGTATCTTCGGTAGATTCGTCGTCGGAAGCTTCGTCGTTCGATGTTTCCTTCAAGGATAATTCGTCGGACGATTTTCTCTCCTCGATCTCATCATTTGTATCCTCGGTGATAGATTCAGGAGCTTCTTCGTTCGACGTTTCCTTCAAGGATAATTCGTCAGACACTTTTCTCTCCTCGGTCTCATCATTCGTGTTCTCGGTGATAGATCCGTCGTCAGAAGCTTCTTCTTCGTTCGACGTTTCCTTGAAGGATATATCGTCGGAGGATTTTCTTTCTTCGGCTTTTTCATCATTCGTATCTTCGGTGATAGATTCGTCGTCAGAAGCAGCTTTTTCTTCGCTCGAAGTTTCTTTGGAAGATAATTCGTCGAAAGATTTTCTTTCTTCGGAAACATGTGTGTTTTCCAGCGGTTTCGTTTCTTCCTCCACACTTTGTGATGGATTTTCAGTAAAGTTCGTATCTTGTGGACTAGTATTCCGCGCGTAATCAGTCGATTCGGTTTCTTCTTTTTCTTCTTCTTGATTTTCTTCCTCAGGCTTATCATCAGCGTGTTCTTCCAAATTCTTGGCGTAACCGTTTGTAATTTGATGATCGAACGATCGCCCCATCTCTTTATTTTCTCGGCCGTTCTGACTCTTGTCGTCGTTTTGCAGGCTCTTCGAATACACCGCGTCGCGTTGGCCAATCGCTCTCGTGTCTATTCCCTTGAAAGTTTGCGATTCCGACGGTTCTTCGAAGATGTGGCTGTCGATTTGGTCTGCAACTTTTGCCTCGTACGGTGGACTCGATGGTGTCGTCGTAATAACAAAAGCAGTACTGGCAGCAGTAGTACTGGCAACGGTAGTACTAGCAGCAGTAGTCGTTTTGTCCTCTTCTTCTTCTTTCCGCTGAGTTGTCTCTGTGACTTCAACGTACTCCGTTCTTTGCTGTTTTATTCTCGAAGATATGCGTCTTCTCGGAGATCTCGATCGAGATGTTTTTCTTCTCGAACCGGTCGATTTTGATCCCGTAGAATCTTTCGTGTTTTTTCGCTTGGCTGTTCCTTGCGGTTTCGCCTGCTTCTCCTCGTTGCTCACGGAACTCAATTGGTTTTCTGATTTATTCTTCGTCAAGTATCCCACAATTTGTCCGTTGTACGTAATTTTCTCGTTGGATACATCGTGCGAGCCAGATCTGGTTTCGTCTTCGATGATGATCTCGATAGGTGCGTCAGTCTTTGGCGCTTCGACGTCCGGTTTCACAGTGATGGGATTCGCTTCAAAAGTATTTGGATCGGAATCTAATATTATCACCTCTATAACATCGTCTCGTCGATGAGTCTTCTCTTCAGAATGAGTATTTGTGGACTCGGTGTTAACGGCAAGTTCTAATTCGTGTTCCGATTTCGTACTTTTGACAGACTTTTCCTCATCGAACGACTTTTCGGTGTTAGCTTCGGCGCTTGAAGAAGACGAATCGTGCTTTTTCTCGTCGTCTTCTTCGTCGTCTTCTTCATCTTTGTGTAGATCCAAATGTTTCGAACCTTCCATCTTCAAGTCCGATAAATAATCCGATTTTGTTATCGCGTTCTCTCTCACCTGTTCCCTCACGGGTTTTGCAATTTCTATGCGTTCGGTATCGTTCCCAATTTCTTGAGGAGAATCGCGAAAAGAATCCACCTTATCGCTGAAGAGAATATTTCTGAACTTGATCAAATTTTCCTTGATAACTCGGAAATCTCCGATCGCAATCTCAAGATGCTTATTTTTCTCGTTCGTCGCGTTATCCTTGACGTTAATCTGTTCGCTGTTCTGCGTCACTTTTGTATCTCCACTCTGAACGTCCGTCCCGTAGACGAAGCGATAAGATTGATCCACCGATCGTTTGCTTCGCGAGATTGTTCTTCCCGTCAATCTTCTCGGCACGATCCTTCGCGATCTGCGAATTTTCGGAACGTCGCGATAAAACGGATCGAAGGACTCGTCTCCCTCTTTGTAGTCGTCGTAGTTTGCCGGTATGGTCGGCAACGGGAGCGTCACCAGTTGCGTGGTGTTGAGAGGCCTGCCGGACTCGTCGCTCACGCTGGCCTTCGCCGTGACGATCACCCGGGATTGCGACGGCAACAGAGGCGACGGATTCTGCACGATCCTCTGGATATCCGGGGGCGGCAGATTTATCGTGATCCGATGAGGCTTCAGCTGCGGCACCGGCCGCGACACGTGAACGTGTTGCGTAACGTGACGCGTGACCGATTGCGACGAATGCGAAGGCTTTGGCGAGGGTTTCGGCGTAGGATAGAACGACCTGATGGTCGTCTCGACGGTGGACGGAGTGGGTAAGAAGTTGCCGGTTAATCTCTGTTGTTGTTTTTGTTGCTGCGACGATTGACTCGTGATCTTCTGCACCGTGCGGGACGACTCCTGCTGACTCGGCACCGGAGATATCGTCAGTTTCGAAACCTGGAATATAAAAAAAAAGGAAAAACAAATAATAACCTATGTAAGCGTGCACATATACAGTGTCATGCAATAAAACACGAAAACGCATTACCTTTCCCTTGTTAGATTGATGTAACGCCTCCAACGGTAGGACACCCTGCTCGTGATCGATCTCGTCGTGATAGTCGGAGGTCTCGCGTGGATTGTTGCTGTGGACGGTGAACTGTTCGGTGGTGCTCGCGATGCCGTGATTATGAAAGATGGGGTTGATCAAGGCCGTCGGACTGTTGGCGTTGCTGTTGAGCAGCGTCTGTATCGTGGATGAGGTGGCGTGGAACAGCGGCGTCACGGTCGACGGTTCGTTGTGAATGATCTGCGGCGGCGGGCCCACCGTCGAGCTGTACCTGACCTGATGAATCTGCGGCGTGGGCGACGCAGGCGACACGGTCGTCGAGCTGGCGGCGCCCTGATTGCTGAACAACTGAAACGACGTGGCCTGGTCGTTTACGCGCTCGTCGTTGTGGAAGATGTACTGACGATGATAGCCGCCGTTCTTGTCGTCGTACAACGACTTGGACTGGCTCGTGTGCACTTGCGGGAACGGCGGCTGCGGCTGATAATGCTGCGGATAACCGGCCGGATGCTGGAAGGATCCGCTTGCGGCCGTGGTAGACGGTTTGCTCGGCCGGGACGTCGTCGTGCTGCTCGTCGTGCTGGTCGTGCTGGGTCGCGCCGAGGTCGTTCGCGTCTGATGATCCTCCACCGGTTCCGCAAGGTCATCCTCGTCCTCGCCGTTCTCGTGCAAGCTGCAAGAAGAGCGATGGAGAAAACGAACGTTTCTCGCGTAGATAGATAGATAGATTGCAACGTTGCGTTCGGCGTAACGCAATATTGCGACTACATTGCGACTACATTGTGTGTGGCGTGTTACTATTTTATTACTCTTTGATTGTTACGATCGCATTTACCGAATATGAAGCTGTGATTGATGAAGTATAAACTATCTTACGGCACACAGAGCAGTTATCTCAATGATATTTATCACAGCGTCGTTACGCCGTGATCATCATCATTATCATCATCATCATCATCATCATCATTATATTTAGAGCGGCGACTGACATCTGAGTGTCTCGTCGTGGCAAGAAATTGGACGCATTTCTGAGACGAGTGCGTCTCTAAGTTGCACAAGGTATCTCTCTACGCGAGATAACCGTTTCCAAGTAAGAAGCGTTAATCGTCAGACGACGCTGACGGATGATAATAACGACGTTAACCGTATAAGGGGGAGAACAGAGGTACGGACACCGCGGGATGGAATGCCGCGGGTAAAACGAGCCGTGCGGGAAAGAGATTTACAGACCTGGAGAGTGCTTGAGTCGAAAATATAAAAGCCGTCGATGACTAAGCCGCGCGTGTCGTCAAACGGGATATAAATTTCATCACCGTGACGGTTGAACGTTACAATTTTTATCTGCATAATACGCACGAGTCCTCTCGGCTCCGAACGAAAGGAGACTCGAGACGCATTCCTCGACGTATATATATCTCCTTCCCAACGAGCGAAGGAAAGCTACTAAAATATTTATGGACGCCGGAGTGTACATGTTTTTTATAGCTAGTTTTACTTCGTACCCGCGAAACTTCCTCGCGAGATAGGCGTGTTTACGCAAAAATGCACATACGCGTCTGAAGCATGCGGTCGTCTCGAGAGGAAACTCGCGAGTTTCATTTTTTTTGTTTTTTGCACAACACTATTGCGTCATCATATATTTCTGTGCTTCGAGTATTGCATAAACAAAAAAAAAAATATAACAAAATCTAAGCAACATTTTCTGAAAAAACGCGCGTCGCGCGTTTTATCACAAAGCGCAACGCTCGTCTAAAAAATCTCAGTGACAAAATTTATCGTCTCGAGATAAAAAAAAATTTGCTTTTCCCGCGTCGAAGAATTTTTCCGAATATTCGATATATTTCAGGCATCTACTCTGTGTATTTGTCCAATCGTTACGTAAGTCTGCGAATGTATTAAACAAACCTGTGTGCGACGAAGCAATCAGAGTGCAACAACTTCGTGTCGTTCCGTACCCAGTTTCTTGCCACGAGACGGTGCAACGCACCAATGCGCGTAACCGGAAAACAGATTAGCAACCGATATCGCCGGTCACCGATATTGATAAAAAAAAAAAATCACAGAAAGTCACGCAAATACAGTCAAAACTATTATCGTATAATGATATAATAGGTATTAAATAATAACACACATTATATAATATATTATTTAATTTAAAATAATTTCTGTGTCGCGCTTATAATTTATTTTCTAAATCACGCAGTTTATTTGACATACCTAAATGTCACAGCGTTATTGCCGTAAAGCTCCAGATTTAGATTGTAGAATCGCTCGCTCTTGCTGCAGTCGACCTCGTCGACCCTCTCGCAGACCCTGGTCTCCTGATCGAAGACGGTCCCGTTCAGACAGAGGAACTTTATATCCATAATCTCGTCTGCAACCAAGTCTCACGGTGACGAAGAGAATTCATTATTCGAGGATGCTCTGGATACTCACGGGACGTGAACTTGTTAGAACATCTCATAAAAATGTACATAACATTGCTTTTTTAATTTCACAATTTACATTTTTCGCGATCGACTTTCATTCTTGCGAATAACGTAAGAGTTTAACTTCGGACACACGTCTTTCTCGTCTTTCATCCGCTAATAAACATATTATATGTATATTCGTATTTCTCAAACTCTGTATAAAAAAAAAAAAAAAAACCTGTACACATGTCAAGCGTCCGCACGTTGACATATCCTGTTTATAAGGTCGATTTCGCACGGACGATTAATGTATTATTTCATATGTTTGAGGGGAGTTCGAGAATGAGCGCTCGTTAAATTCTGAACGTTAATAACATGTCAAACGCGGGATTAAAAGCGATCGGGATTAAAAGCGCGATAATTAATGGCAGCGCAAATCCATTTAAGGCCGGCACACGTATCGCTGATAAGTATGTAGATCGTTTCGAAAGGTTCGAACCGAGAAGGCTCCGTCGTTTTGTAATCGATCGAGAGATCGCTTAAGGCGAGAATGTCATGGTCGTTGAAGAACGTTTACTGACCTAAACCCGAGAGTCCGATTCGTCACGAGGACTCGACCTCCTCCTTCGCGATCGAGTCGATTTATTTTCAACGTGCGCCAATAATCGTCTCACAATTATACATATATGTTGAAATGCAAATAATTAAAAAACTATCTAATTTTGCATCGCATTTCCGCCTTCGCAACGCAGAACTACCTTTTTGGCCTATGGTGCAGACGTGAAACATTTGACAGCCTGCTTCGACATCCGCGTAATATCCGCCAATCACCTTCCCTTGACACGAGAAATTCGTTTCCGGCAGGTTATCGAAGTCCAGATACTTAAACAATTAAAAATCGATTCAGTTTAGAAAAAAGAACTTTAATCACTTTCTTCAATATAAATTCAAAAAAAAAAAAAAAATAAAAGTAAAAATAAA